TTTGAAGTTACTAAATTACCAGTTTAGGAGAACAGTGTATCTAGTTCAAAATTAATTTACTTAAATACACGTACCCCAGAATATAATAAATTTTTGTGTACCAGATAATGTTTTGTTGGTTGGTTGGCGCGGTAGTTGGGCAACTGACTGCCGCGCAACGTGTCGCGGATCCGATTCCCGCACGGAACAACTCTTTGTGTGATCCACAGATGGTTGTTCCGGGTCTGGGTGTCATGTGTATGTGAACTTGTATGTTTGTAACCGCACTCAGGACATAGGAGAAAATCCTTGTTGGGCAAAGATTTAAGGCTTATTTAAAAAAAATGTATGCTAAAACTTAACTTGTGAGGTTTGCTATATGCATGCATTTTCCGCATCACCGCATTTGTAGCATCTCTACATTTACCGGGAGAGGTAAACCTCAAATCTTAATTAGTAGACAATTTAATATAGCAACTTCCTTAATACCTAAACTCCTAAATATAATTATTAAACAATGTTAACTACATATTTATTGATAAAGGTGACACATTGGTAATTATTTAGGTACCCATCAAGTATTTAACTTATTTATTACTAGCTTTTACCCGCGGCTTCGCTCGCGTCACAAAAGGATAAAAAGTAGCTTATGTGACATATACCAATACACACAGCGCCATCTATATCAATACTTTTGTTTTTCCTCGGGAATATCAATTTTTTCCGGGATAAAAAGTACCCTATTATTTAATCCGGACTTCTAACTTTATGTCTGCAAAAATTCAAAGCAATCGGTTTAGTAGTTATGGTGTGAAATCGGAACAAACAAACTCACTTTCCCATTTATAATATAAGTAAGGATTTAGCAGTTAATTTATTGGTTACAAAGGCATTGCAGTTTTCAGATAAGTAAGTGCCTACCCAATTATACGCTCTTTTCCTTATCCTTATACATTTACAGGGAACCGCGAAATCCGTTTTAGTATTCGGAGGAACAAAATTGCTCGAATGGTTGTCCTACTTGTCCTCTATGCATTCCGGAAGCATTGAGTAGGTTTTGATGAAGACTTTAGGTACCTAACTATAGTCTTCTCCGAAGTCTGTCACCTAGAAGACGAAGACTCGATGTAAAATACGTATACCAGGGTGTAAATGGAATGCTTTCGAAAAATGCCGACAGGTGATGGTAAAAAACAAGTTTTATCTTATACCTTATATACTATATACTATTATATAAAGCGGAAGAGTTTGTTTTTTGTTTGTTTGTTTGAACGCGCTAATCTCCGTAACTACAAGTCTGATTTGAATAATTATTTTTGTGTTAGATAGTGCATTTATCGAGGATGGCTATAGGCTATAAAACATCACGCTACGACCAATAGGAGCTGAGTAGAGCGTGTGAAAACGTACGGAAGTAGCTAGTTGTCAATAAAGTTAGAGAATTAAATGTTTCTTATGTAATAATAGTTCTAATCAACACGAAAATCAACATTGCATTAATAACACGAAAACAAAAACAGTTACAATTATAAAAACAATTTCTTTTATGCGTTCCGTTTCAACCCCTGTATGTAACCACAAAAAAATGGCACGTGGTCGCGGTAGTGTCAAATGAAGTCGCGGAGAACCTAACGGGTAACCGGGGCTCTGGCTCGACGTGCAGGAGAAGGAACGGGCTGGTTTTTAGTCAGTAAGAGTCTAACACTCTCTCCCGCTTCACCCAGGCGGGAGCAGTCATTCCATGACATTCCCCCCTTAGAAAAAAGTGTCAAATAGAAAAAAAAATTAAAAACACATTTTACAATGGATGTTTTCATGTCTCATTGATTTTAGGCAAACATGGTATTACGGCCATGTAAGGTGCATGTTTTGGTATACTTTCATAATGCTTGATAATTCGGGCTTTAGTGATTAGTAGGTATTGACACATATAGGGTATGTAAATAGCTGAAAGGTAAGGGAGCTAAGCAACAGAAATTAAGTCAGTACCTAGTCATTTGGTTCTGCTAAGAAGCAATTCTATTAGCTTTTATGTCGAAGTCGTGCTACATAAATTGTCCAATATCTTACATGGACGGCTATTAATGTTAAGAGAACATGTTTATAAGAATTAGGTACCTAAAGTAAAACTAAAGGTCTACTTTAAAAGTTAAATTCTGTTTGTTAGTCTTATCAGAAGCATTAAGCATCGTAGGAATTCTGTCGCTTTTTAAAAAAGTAGGTTTTCCTAAATACAATAGTCAGGTATTTTGTAAAATCATTTGTTTGGTAGGTATATAATTTGTAGGTCCTAAATATACAGATGCGTCCGGTGTTTCCTAATTTCCATGAAAGGAGCAATATAACCATCTGTTTCAGTCAAATGACATAAAATGTAACAATAAAAGTTTATGAACGATAAAAAACACCATTTAGGCTGCACATTTTCTTGCCTCCGTGTTAAAAAAAAGATGAAAGGAAATTATCTGTGGCATCGTAATTAAAAACTATAATACAGGCCAAGACAGCCACGCGGGATATGAAAATAATCGTTAATATAAAAAATGTAAATGATACATTAAGCATTTAGTGAAATCACATTGTCATAAAAGTTTACTGCCTCGAATGCCTATCGAAAGTGCTGAAACGGACAAAAATAACCGTTCTAGAGGGTTTATTTCAGTGAAATTATTGCGGCTCGTATGATTTATACGATGTTTCAACCAAAATAAATGTTACGACAAAAAATGTAGGTGAGAGAGCAGCTTTAGATTAATATCTTCTGAAATTAACGTATGAATTAGAAGGGAATGGTGCTGCCAATGTTTTTATTGCTGATAGAAACAGGAATAATAAAAAACATCGTTTTCTCTTAGATTTGATTTGTGAGAATTAATTTAAGACTTATCCATAAGCTGATTCAGGCAGGCAACACAGAAATATTCAAGTCTAGACTAGTTCGTTTTAAAATACATTGCTAGACACTTGATTTCGGTCTTGAAAATAATTTGTAGATATTTATTTCGGTAATGCACAAATGTAATTAAAACCACAACATAAACTACTTACGGTCAATATCCGAACAAATCACAGTATCCTTTCCGCAGTAATGCGCTACCCCTGCGCAAACGCACGTCACAGCGGCGCCAAACTCTACCCCGTTATATTTTTAATATAAAATTCTCTAGTCGCGTATCGAATCATAAAAATATAAATATTTTAGGATCGACCGCGCGCGCAACACCAACCGCGTCCCGACTGCCCATTGACGCATTCGTTTCGAACTAATTTCGGTGCAACGACTATTCCGCGATTCTGTAAACACCGCAGCGGCGGTAAAACTTGGCTACGGAACGCTGGCCTCTCCGCTACGTGGTGACCACTTCGTTTACATCTCGAGATTAAGGAAAAGAGGGAGACGCCATAGCTCACGTTAGAGTGGGATCGCTGGAGTGTTGCTGACTTACCAAAACAGTCGCCATCACCCTTATTAACCTCCAGTAAGAACCAATTTCCTCCAGCTGAGGCGCACAGACAATTTTGTAAGTAATAAGTTTTGTTTTGGGCACATCGTGAGTCAGTCGGGATGAGGAAATGCGTGCAAGTTATAATTTCGGAGCGGCCGACATTGTTGAATGATTTTATAAATCATTGCGGGATGCGTTACCATAAGAAAATATTTGTAGATAGCAGCATTTTACATACTTAGGTACTTAGTAAAATATCAATATCATATACATACTTATAAATATAAGTATCTACATTTTAAGTAGGTAAGAATCAGTTGTAATATAACTTCATCGTAGACAAGTGACATAATTTCCTAATTCCTAAACAATAAAAACTGGATAGGTACTTGTGTTTTTTAGTTTTCATGTAGATCTGTATCTAGGTATGGACCTAAATATTCCTAGCTTTAGCCAAGGATCTACCTAAAGCCAGTCATCTTCCAGGACAGGAACGAAGGAACCATAATTAATGTATGTTTTAAAATCACTTCCTAAAAAATAAAAACTTGATGGACCAGAACTAAATACATTTGTACAAAGATATTAGCAAAGATTACCATATACACGTCATACGATCGTCCTACTTTTTATACAGGCCAGTTTCACAAAGAATCTCAAAGTTTAATACATAAATTAGATTTGGGCATGGACTTCCTGTCCTAGGTCAGGTCAGAACACAAGATAGAATTATCACCGCTGATCTCGTGACCATAAAGTCGTCAGTATTATCTCTTTTTTTATGGATAAATGTTAAGTTTGTGTATGCTCTCTTTTTCATTTTGATTTGTCTTGTTTAAATTAGTAATTAGGTACATAGATTTAGTTTTAGACCTAAGCTATCGAAAACTGTAATGATAGTTTTAGCTAAGGTTTTAAATAAATAAATAATATTTATAGAGAATCACGCTTATTGGTGCTCCTTACAAGGTAACCTGAAATAGTTTCGACATGTAATAGGCAAATAATGTGCAAGACCAATTTTTAGTTTTTAAATTAGAAAACAATATCATTCCTTCAGTTGTGTAAATAATAATTTAGTCTTGGTTTTGATTCTCATAGCAATAGGTAGATTTTTGAGAAAAGGCTCCTTTTTAGCCGCCAGACTAAAATGCGAAGAGCTGAAGAGCTTTTGGAATGGAGAATGGCTAGTAGTGGACCGGACTATCGAGTGTTTAGAGAGACAAGATGGCTTTTATAGTATGACTAGCGACCAGCCCCGGCTTCGCACGGGTCCAATATTCATGTACGATACATATAAACCTTCCTTAAGAATCACTCACATGTAATTTTAAAGATGTAAGCATACATAGGGATAGACAGACGGCAGATAGCGACTTTGTTTTATACTATGTAGTGAAAAGGACCTTCACAAGTTTCCATGGAGAATTCTCCCAACAATGCAAGGGATCTTTAAGAATTGCAGAAAACAGGAGGACATTTTTTTCAAGCCTTTGTTACAGCAGAAAAAAATAAAAAACAAAATTACAAGAAATACTTTAATATCTTTGACTTATAACTAGGTCTGAACGGATGTCATTTAACGTTTTTCAGTGCTTCACATGCATCTGCCATTTTCAAACCTTCCATAATGTACAGAAGGTTCTCAACGGACGCGTCCTCATCATCATCGAACCATAATTGGAGCATGTTCTTCGCTCTTGCGGAATCTGTTGCGTTTTCTGTCTCAAAGAACTGGATTTCATCAGCTTTGTAGCCCAGTTTGGCGGCTAATTTCTTCCAGTCTGTGAGTTTAGAGGATAGGGCCTCGAGTTGAGCTGGTGATATCATTGTCACTCTAGAACGGGCTGTCTTGTCGTAGTCTTCTTCGCCGGCGTGCGTTGAGTCTGGTACCTGTTGAGAATAATAGTAATTATTATTTGACAATTGTTCTCTCATTGGAATTAAGCTCATTCACACACGACATCGTAGCCGTGTGTAGGCCGAGAACCAAAGGAATTGACATACAGAGCATTTAAATGAGAATACATTTCAAAAGTAACGTCGTACGGCATTTTTTTTTAATAAAACGTTGCCCCGTACTGGGTTTTCTCCTGTGTCGTGGTTGCGTTTACAAACATACGAGTTCACATATGATACCCAGACCCGAAACAACAATTTGTGGATCACACAAGTGTTGTTCCGTGCGGGAATCGAATCCGCGACACGTTGCGCGGCAGCCGGTTGCCCAGCCACCGCGCCAACCGTGCAGTCAGCTGTGCAGCAAGTCAGTCAGCAGTCACAAATATGCAGAAGCCACGCATACGGAACAGTCAAGTATGATAGATTTATTACTACGATGCGGCAGTACATGTCGAATTTCTTTCTACGATGCATATGTTAATGGGAAAGAGGGCAAACGAGTAGACATGGCAAATGATCAATGCCGTCCTTGAATACGCGTAGTAACACCAGCTGTAGCCAAACGCCATTTAGACTACTTTGTCTACATGTAGAATAGAAAACCAAATTATATGGAATTGACGTAAATTTTGACACTTGTCAATGTCATCCCCATACATTTTGATTTCTACTCTCTATGTAGACAAGCGCTAAAGTGGCGTTTGGCTAAAGGCCCAGGATAGGTTGAACCTCCAGTAACGTCATTCACAGGGCTCGGCACATAGCCATATTGTGGTTTTACCCTATCGTACCTATGACCATCATCGCAAGTTACCCGTCTATTTTTAGGAGTGACCTATCTACCTTTGGGAGCTGAAACTGTAATGATTAAATTGAAACATGTTGTTACCTGTTCGATATCATTGGCGTCCCCTTCCTTTATGAGATCTGCTTCCATTTGTTCCTCGGTAATCTCCTCTTCGTTGTTCTCCTGTGAACGACACAATATAAATTTAAATCTCTTGCATATTATTTAGAATAAAGCTCACTGGTTTGATGTAGTAGTGTGTTTTATTATTATTACGATATTTCCAAAATATTCTTTTCGTGGTAAGCCAGACGGTAAGCAAACTCCGCTGCCCATAGACATCCGAAACACCAGAGACGTTCAAGTGCGTTACTAGCCTTTTGGGGGCTTAGGGATTTAGTGATTAGAGAGATTGGAGGGGGTAATTGGGCCTCCGGTAACCTCAGTCACACGGTGAAACTCACTCAATACTGCTGACCAAATTTTGATTTAGTTTAACATTGAAAATACGATATACTCGTATAACTGGAAAAATCATAAATAAAAAATAAGTAACAATAACTTACCGTTTTAACAGGTTTATCATTATGGTTCTTAGAGGACTCTCCATTCGCATTAGCAGCTGCGTTGGCCGCTACTTCCCGGGTCACTCGCTCAACCTGAAACAAATTGACAATAGATACAACAAAAGAAATTGACGACACCATGAAGATACAATGTTTAATGTCCATTTTCAGATATATTTAGGCAAAGCTTCTAAAATGTGTATTATACGTATCGTCAAGTGGCTTTACTGGTTCCAGTAATTCAAGTGCAAGAACTGTCGGAGAACATTTGTTATGTGCGAGATCTTTATGTAGTTTTTATTGTCCAAAGTTATAATCTTAATTCTACAACACGTCATGTTAGATACATCGATTATTGGTAAAGTATAAATTCTTATTTAATTCAATCGATTTTTAATCTTATTACATTAACATAGACTGCAAAATAAACCGATACATATTGTTAGATTTTATAAATCTTTCATTAAGAGTTGATACTATAAATTCAGATTCATAGGATAAACTTGAATTGTATTGTTAAAATCGTTTAATTATTAATAATAATACCCATGACTATCATTGCGAGGGACATGTTATTTTTAGGAGTGACCTTTGGGAGCGAAAACTGTAATGATTAATTCAATTGTTTAATTATTAATATGAATATGTATGGCATTTTTTAATAGTATTATCATCTTACCATAGCAGTTAAGTAGTCGGGCAGTCGTCCAATAGGATTGTTAGTATGCACGAAGAAATGCGGCGAGCGTCGCGCCAGCAGGCGCAGCGCGCGCCACCCCCACCCCCCCTCGCACGACCGCGCCAGGCTCGCCGACCCCGGGGACACCATGTACGACTCTGTACACGGACAATAAGGATTATGATTAAAAAAATATTCTTTACGGAATAAGGACGGGTGGCAAAAATAGCAGACGGATTACTTGATGGTAAGCAATTGGTACCGCCCATGAACAACCGCAACAACTGCGTTGCCGGAGTTTTAAACGTTTATTTTATGGCTCCATGAGGATTTTCTCCTACACTGCACATTTAGCGTAGTGGCTAAGTGACCGGCTATTAGGTATGCAAAGTATCACAGATTGGACTCCCGCATCCCAGTGCGGAATTTTAATTTGAAAAACACATTACCACTTTTCCCCATAAATTTTTAAAATTAAAATTACATAGTATTATTAATTGCCTAGAGTAAAAACCCTGTACTTTGGAAAGCTTACACAGTGTCTAAAATATTATTTCGAACCTCTCCCTACTTATTTGAGTTTAACGCCATCTATGAATTTTCCAAGTTACTACACAGAACTTCAGTTGTCTACTTTTTACACTTGTCTTAGGATAAACCTTACAAGACAATGAAACTATGTTTTCTTTGTTCACTAAAGAGCTCAGCGAAAAATTACTAAATCATACTTTATGAAATGAATATTAATCAAAACTCTTAAATATAATAGTTATTCAACATACCTAACGACGGCATGAAGTCTCTCTCTTTGGTGCGGCAGGCGGCAAGATTGTCAGGACACAAGTTCCATAACTTTGTCAATTCATTACTGGAAAATAAAAATTGTATGTACAAATTAAACTGTGTTTTATTTTATGGACTTTAAAGTTCATAATTATCTAAACTTCATCCTAATCATAATCTTTGCGCAAAGCATAAAGTAGAATAAAGAAGAATGGCCCGGCTTGACCGGAGTCGATGAAAACAGGTGTGAAACAACGCTTGCTTTGTAGTTTGTCGTATGAGTGAGGTTACTGGGGCTCAGTCCATCCTTCATACCCAAATGACTGCTAACGCACTGTCTCTGGTGTTGCGAATCTAATATCTTACCATCAGGTGATCAGTCAGTTCGTTTGCCACCTTATCCATTACTAGCTTTTACCCGCAACTTCGCTCGCGTCACAAAAGGATAAAAAGCCAATGTGACATATACCAATACACACAGCGCCATCTACACCAATACTTTTGTTTTCCCTCAGGAATATCAAATTTTTCCGGGATAAAAAGTACCCTATTATTTAATCCGGACTTTTAACTATACATCTGCAAAAATTCATAGCAATCGGTTTAGTAGTTATGGCGTGAAAGTGGAACAAACAAACAAACAAACTCACTTTCCGATTTATAATATTAGTAAGGAAGTAAGGATAGTAAGGAAGTAAGGATTTTACTAGGCATTATTATAAATAGATAAAATAAAGTTCATATTGCATAATTTTGTACTTACTTTCCCATATAAGATTTACTTTGAGCTTCATACTCCTTGATGATGTCACCGACAGGACGGCGACGTTTTCTCGACTTCTTCACATCATCCGTCGATTCCACTGATACAGGGGGCTTTGGTTTCTGGAATTCTATAAAATGAGGTTTTTTAGCATTCTAATTATATTATATATTCTTTTAAAGTGTGGGAGAGCCACGCTTCGGCCCAAATGGGGCGGCTCGACCGGAGTGATACCACAGCCTCATAGAAACCGACGTGAAGCAACGCTTGCGTTGTGTTTCGTCGTGTGAGTGAGGTTACCGGAGGCCCAATTACCCTCCCCTTCCTCAATCTCCCCAATCCTTTAATCCCCAACGATCCTCAAACTCCTAATCTCCAAAAGGCCGGTAACGCACATGTAACGCCTCTGGTGTTCCGGGTGTCCATGGGCGACACCGATAGCTTACCATCAGGTGATCCGTCTGCTCGTTTACCGGCTTATGCCATAAAAAAAAATCTTTCATACACAAAATAACTTCATTTGTCCAAAATTGGGTCATTTTAATCATTTTACTGTAGTACTAAATGATTTAATTACATTAATTTGTAGTGAATTTCTATTGTTTAAATAAAAACTGATACACACTAGGATATTCCTCCGTATCGTGGGCGTGTTTGCACTGCAAACACTCAATATTTGTACAATGACACTGTCACTGGCAGTATTATGGAATTGATACAACCTTCAAAGCCTAATTTAAAAATACAATACTTATTAAAAGGCTTGCAATGCGACTCCTTGATGTTGCTAGTGTCTATAGGTGATGCTGAGCTGCCTGTCCATTTGCCATTTGATGTTTAGAACTTTTCTTTTTTTTTATGGAATAAGTAGTAGGCAAACGAGTAGACGGATCACCTGATGGTAAGCGATGAGCGCCGCTCATGGACACCCGCAACACCAGAGGAGTCACAGGTGCGTTACCGGCCTAACTAAATTTTAAGGCAGGCAACGCACCGGCAAATTACTTGCCGGCCGGTTTTCTCAATTAAAGTAAACTTACCAGGACACCCATCATTTTTCCAACTGTTCCAATGTTCCTCCCTCTTCAATATATGCTTGACGCACTCAGCAAACTGCTTCCCATTGGGAGGAGTCTCGCCCAGTAACTTGTACACGAGTGAAGTAGTCTCTTTGACCCAGTCCACTTGATCAGACTTCAGTTCTTGTACTTCCCTGTAAGAAGAATAACATTGGAATAGTGAATAACTTATGAGATAGACATTATTGAATTGAAGGCTACTGGATTTTAAGTTGTACTTAAATATAGTACTATCTCTGTCATTTTACGAAGAACTTGTAGAGACAGAACTATAATTAAGCGCGACTTAAAGTTGAGTAGCGTTTGAGTATATGGATGTAAGGGATTTATTTGTTGTAGGTACTATAACACCAAAATTAATGTTGAGCCCGCGGCCACGGGTGCGTAGAGTGGGGTGTGGGGACTCTAGGTGCCCACCCTGTGATCTCAGAGAAGACGGTGGCACAGTGGTCACGTGCCGCCATACAAAGCAAGGCTTAAAGGAGACACCCGTCTCCCTAGAGATGTGTCATTACAGGCGTTGCACCGTGGAGGCTCCGGAGAAGGTCTCTTTTAAAGGACCCGGTGCCTTCATACAGGTGTTGAGAGTGGCCACCGGGGTGGTTTTAGTGAAGTAAAAAACCAAAAGACTAGCTTTTATCCACAAAAAGCAAAAAAAGGTACTTAAACCCTTGTATATATGAGAGAAGACACAATAGAAAGTATATTGTGTCTCGCATGAATTTATGTCTGGGCGCCATCAGCAGCCTATATGCCCACTACTGAGCAGAGCCTCTTCTCACACGGAGAAGGTTTGAGCATTAATCACCACGCTTGCTCAATGCGGGTTGGTGATTACAAACTTGTAATTAGAAATAATAAGCCCAGGTTTCCTCGCGATGTTTTCCTTCACTGTTTGTCAGTGGTATCTAAATAGAAAGTATATGTAACTCAAAAAAGCCATATTGGTACTTGCCATTGGTAGATTTCGAACCCGCACCCTCATGCATTAGAAGTGGGCGGCTTAAACCTCCAGGCCACCACGATACACGTTTGGGCACACAATAGGTTAATTCAAAGAGGGGAATGTTAAAATTCAATAATTTTAACGTTCCCCTTTAACAATCATCACAGTTTCCATGCAAAGGCTGCACTTTAGTACACAAACTATACATAGCAATAAATAACATAAAACATACATACATTTTAAACTTCACAGTAGACGTGAGATACTGGAACAGGATTAGGAACTGAACGAGGACACATCTTCGGAAATTAGAATCGGATAGCTGTAACTCCAAGAGCTTCTGATTGGTCAAAAACTTGGCGAAGTAATGAGGTTCATTGGTTTCAGAGTCCTTCATCTCAATGTCGGTTGCCATGGTTTTTACTGGCTTTAGTAGGTTCAGCTTTGATTTCTGTAGTTCTACTGTTTCGAGTTTATATGAAGAAAACGCTGATAGCACACTGCCTGAATGCTGAAATAGATGTAAGATTAAATTAGTATGGATGTAATAAGAGATTTAATGATTATAGATGTATTGTAAATTAACAATTGTAAGCAATTAAAGAGAACTATGAATTAATTTACCATTTAAGAAAATATTAAAATAACAGCATTACATAAGGTGTCATAATATATGATATACTAGCAAACCCGGCAAACTCCATTTCACCACCAGTAGGCTTCGTTTTATGTAACATTTTGTTCGGATATTAACCCGTCGAGCGTCCGCGTGCCTTATGCATTTCCTTATCCTAATGCATCCAAGAAAATGCATTTATTTGGCCATTGGCACACGAAAACAAGGATCATTACAATAGAAATAAAACAAATACAGTCAAAATAAAAACAAAACATTAATAATTGATTTTATAAACTCAAACTGATATTCTTTTCCTCCTCCTCCTCCTCTTCAATTTTTTTGTTTTATATTTTACAAACCTCACGGAAACCGAGACCTTTCCAACAAATGTAAAATTGTGGAAATCGGTTCGTGCGTTCTGGAGTTATAGCGTCAGGAAGGAAAAGCCGACTTATTTTTATATAGTAGAAGATATATGTATGTTTATATTTTATAATACTCACAGCAACAAATGTCTTCCACTGCAACTTATTATAACAGTTATTCGGGTTCCTAAAGAAATCTTGTAAACTCCAAAATCTACAGTACAAGTTATAATCTATATTTATTTTATTCTTTTCATTATTGTCAACCACCATTTCTTCATCTAAGGAATCCTTTAATGTACTGGAACTGTCTCCTCCAAACTCTGTGACATTCTCTAAATTAAATTCAGAGACTATGTTCAATCCTGATCTTTCAGAAAAAGGAAAGAACTTCGCAAGAAACAAAAGGATCCGACCACAGAAAACTGTGTTTTGTGACCTTGATAGTCTTCTTAGGAGATCATTACACATCCTTAGCAAATTATTCTTACAAGCTACGAAAAATAATTCTTCTTTCCATATGTTTACGCCGTTTTCAACGTAGGAGAACAGTTTTTCGCACTTATTCAATGTTAGCGCGTCAAAAATGTCTCCAAGAAGCACCACTGGCATCGTAGGTGTTACCATCTGTCTTCTACATGACTCTATGCAGAAAGAAACGAAGTTTTCAAGCGTATCTGGCTCCTCAATTAGGAGTTCCAGCAGTTTATCTCGGAACGCATGATCCATCGCTGCTTTTCTGTCGGTCTCATTTGTATTCTTTGTAAATGAATCCAGCAAGTCGATATTGTTAGTTGTGAAGGCTTTGGACAGCACATCCTGTAAAATACAATGCTTTTGTTAGCCAATAACAAATACTAGCAAGCTAACAATAGCAAGAGTAAACTAAAGGAAGAGGTTATAAAATGTACCTTATATTTATTTCGCAGTTCGTCAAATCCTAATTTATCACTCATCTTGGCACGATATTTATTTTTGTTGTCTTAAATCGTTACAAATTGTGATAATCATTTAATGATAAATTCATAATTTTAGAGTATCAATTCGGTAAACCAACCAATAAACCAAACGATCAATAGTGATGTGCTACTTTGCTCAAACACACTAAACTACCTAATAACAAGTTAGTCGATTTGTAGCTAACTTAATAAATACTACTAACTTGTAGAATAGTTTTAATAGAAAGAAGGCCTTATTATTGATTTTGGATGAAATTATTACTAAAATTATGCTGGATTTTTCAAAAAAATCTATTATTATATTACATATCATACATATATATATTATTATATTAATATATAATTATATAATTTTACCGAAATTATAATTATATAATTATAATTTCGGTAAAAAAATACAAGTATTTTTTCTTATCAATTATCAAATCCTTGGTAACTTAAGTTAAATTATATTTTATAGAACAACAATTATGGCTTTAAAATATGAAAGGCATGAAACTAAAGTAAATTAATATTAAAATTTTGTAAATATCGCAAGATAACTCGATTTTAATATCGTAATAATCGTTGCTTTTATTTTTTTTCCCGCCGTATTAGATCTAATGATTTTGCGTCACCATAGTACTTCGCTCTTATTGGTTAAAATTCGACGTTGGCTACCAATAGCCAATCGTATATCGAGTTCAATGTACGGAACTGCAGCTGATAGCTATTATTTTTGACAGATGTGTGTCGTCGTGTTGTGTGGCGTCCTGTCTATTTATCTTTAGAATTTTATTATTATTTACAGATTTTTTACTCGATCCTTTGTTTAGAAATGTGTTAAAGTGTAAGATTAGAGTAGTTTAGTGTACTTAGGAATTATTGTTAGGATAATCTCAAAGGAATAGAGAGGATTGTTTGGAAACATGGACCGCAATAATATGAGGTAAGAAAGAATTTGCTTTCGCTTGCAATCGTGCTTACTTTCACGTTTAAGTGTTTAGAATGTGTTAAACACAAAGTATGATGTGTTTTAGTCGACGTCATTACGTTTGAGTGTATTTGTAGTAATATTTTGTTGAGATTTGAATGTAATCCAGAAGTAATTACTTAGTTTGGCTTTGTTTGTAGAAAGATTACGATAGCGTGCAAAATTATTGTATTTAGGTGTAATCGTGAGTGTTACTCGTGATAGTAACAAGTATATCGCATATTGTAGTTAGAAAAAGTGGCATGTTTACGAGTTGCGAGCGTGTGGGTGTTATTTATATTATTATCATGCCACGCGCATTTCTTATCGCATCGCTTGTGAACAGTTATGCACGTACGGAATCATCTACGCATAGAGTAAACTAACTGTTATTCTTTCATAACTAATATTTACTGCGTAAATCGTAAAACTAGATCCTTTCTTATATTTTCTTAGATGTATTTTAACAATAGCCTTGGTTTTATAGTAAGATATCTGTAAAAAAGATAATGTTGTAATCTCTTCTACTACATTATTATGAATATTATCAATTGGTTTGTGTTTATCAAAACATAACTTTATTGCAAGTCTAAGTTTAATTGTGAACTTTTGAACTCCAACGTAACAGTTGTCAACACAATGTATGATAACATTTTATATTTGTAACATTACAATGTTAATGACACTGAACTTCTCAGTAGGTATCATACAAATTAGTTTTAGCATACCTACTATAATATGGACATTAAAAAAAAGCATTTTTAAATATAGTTTCATTCATTTTTAAATATAACTAGCAGTTACTATTATTTCATTGTGTAAACAATTGATCCAAACAATAAACAAGGAAAATTGATGCTATTTTAGGCATCAATTGAATGGAATCGATTGTTGCTGTCTGTACAACTTTTGAAAAGTATGTAACAACATCGTAAGGGGCTATCCTTTGTAACTTATTGTATTAAAAACCAAGAGCCACACACTGAATAAGATAAAATGCAATACATTTTTAAGTAAACATGAATACTTTGAACATTAAACTAGTATTTATAGTAGTTTTTATATATTTCTTAGATATACCTTCGTACACAATGTAAACGGAATGCTACAGAAAACGCAGAAATTTTTTATTGTTTTAGTTTTCGTGTTATTCATGGAACATTAGCCTTGAGCCGTTGATTACAACTATTATTTAAAAAAAAGACAAACATTTAATTTAATACCTACTTTTTAAAAATGAAGCTCGTTTTTTACTGTCACCTGTCTGCGTTTTCAGGAGCATTCCATTTACACTCTGTATCATGATATAATAACCAATATCTTAATTTTTTAGTCTGTGGCCATATTTCTACAGCTATATAACAATGCCCAAGGGTGATAAATGCAAATCCCTGTAACGTAAAACATCACAATGTGATTCAACCACAATGAATATCAATTGATATGTGCGGTAGCGATTGAATCAACCACAAGATGTGCGCACATTATGTACTTTAGTTATCATACAATACAATTTAGATATTACAACACATCATAGTATACAAATAGTATTTTATTTTACCGACATATTAAGGATGATTGTTCAAAAAATTGGCAAATGGTTAAAATAGAACATTAGCTTTCACAACTTAACTTTATAGCTGCATTTATAATAGTAAAATGAATGATAATAACATAAAACTTTAATTAATTATATAAACTAGCAATTTTGAATTGAATGTTCTTGGGAAACTATGCAAACTTTTTTTCTGTCATGATGTGTATTGGTGAACACAATTACTAGTCATACATCGTCATAACTGCTAATAGCAAGCTTCACGCCTCACATCACGCGCAGCAAACCGATTTACGTGACTTTAAATTAATTTATTAGCCTACAAACTACTAGATAGCTCGAAGAGTTGGTGAACTATTTCACAAACAGATTATTTATAATTTATCTAATTGTTACTTTATACAAATAGACTACCTACTTGTAGAACGTTAATTATAGTTACTAACAAAATTAATTTTAAATTCAAGTCTTAAAACCCATCATAGGACTTCTAATTACAGATATGTGAGCAGCGGCACGCGGTCGTTGCCTCATATGGGGGGGAGTAAGCGACACAATGGGAATGGTCACGCGGCAAGACTCAGCCCACCAGCACAGGCGCCACCTCCACATGCAAACCATCACCACCACCACAACAACAATAATAATAACAACAACAATAATGTAAACAACCAGAATGATGATCTTATCAACTATATCTACGATTCATGGAATAAGGTTGGTTCAATTTTAATAATATAAGTATGTAGTAATTGTTTTTACCGACTTTAAAAAAAAGGAGTAGGTACTATGTTCGGCTGATTGTTTTTTTTATGATAGACTAGCTGTTGCTCGCGACGTCTTTCGCGTAGAATATGAATGTTAGACCATAACTTTATTTTGTTTCAATTTTCTAAAATAAAAGTAGCCTATTTTACTCCTTAGTATATCAGTGACATGTCAGTAAAAGTACCGTCAAAATCGGTCCAGCCATTCCAGAGATTAGCCATTACAAACAAACAAACAGACAGACAAAAATTGTAAAAAAATGTTATTTTGGTATGTGTATCGTATGTAGTATATATGCATGTAGTAAAAACCACTTATTTTAATACTAGCCTTTACCCGCGGCTTCGGTCGCGTCACAAAAGGATAAAAAGCCAATGTGTCATATACCAACACACACAGCGCCATCTATATACTATTGTTTTTCCTCGGGAATATCAATTTTTTCCGGGTTAAAAAGTACCCTATTATTTAATCCGGACTTCTAACTTTACGTCTGCAAAAATTCAAAGCAATCGGTTTAGTAGTTACGGCGTGAAAGCAGAACAAACAAACAAACAAACTCACTTTCCGATTTGTAATATTAGTAAGGATTACAAACAGGCACCCTAATTTTATTTATCTGTTTCGATTGACACGTCTAAAGATCTTTTAGGAGACATGACTGGGGAGTGTTGTTACTTATCACAATAATACCAAACCACCTCAATTATATTTATCATAATTACACACTGACAGCCCCAAATAGTTGCGTGAATATTGTAAACTAAGAAAATTTAAATACAGCATCAATTTCCATAAAATATTCAATTTAATTTGCATGATTGTAGCAACAAAAATAGACAACATGATTGACAATAAGATACTTAACTTTCAAGTGGATCTATCCGTTGGTTTCTTCTCAGTAGGTACTTGGTTGGTAGTATTCAATCGAGTGAGACGTCGTCATGGCTAATGATTTTCAATTACATCTGTTGTCAATTTACTATGCTTGATCTATTTGTAAAAAAAAAAGTTCCTATGGTCACAGTATTTGATTCTCAATGATGTTACTAAGTGGATTATGATAATATCTAGTTGAGCTCTGTAGGAGTAACTATAATAGGAGTTCCTTGAAATTAATGGGGACATTGTGTACTCTCCTGTGGACCCCCAGGTGGGTAATGCCCTAAAGTACTAATTTTAGGGCTTTTGCAAGTAGTAGCCACACTTGGAATGTGAAATCCATATTGCTACATTGTCATAACATGGTCCTTTCGTTTGCACCTTAATGGCAAAGTCAGATTAATCCCCTACATAACATAATATCACGCCTTTTATCCCCGTGGGGTAGGGAGAGGTGCACATTACGGCACTTAATGCCACTGTACACTGTAACACCCACTTTTCATTATTTATGTTATGAAGTCCCATGTAATAGGGGGTGAGCCTACTGCCATATACCGGGCACAATTCTAGACTTCGTGCTACTACTAAGATTTTTTTACAAAACCTAGTAATACTTTGCCCGACCCGAGAATCGAACCCGAGTCCCCTTGGCCAGCAATCGCACTTGCGACCACTCGGCCAGCGGCGCAGTCCAATGGCCGACGGCACTGTGGGCGCAGTCCCCTACTTATGGAAAATAAAATACTAGGAGTATATTTTTGTCATCATTCCTATTTTTCCAGCGACTAGTATGCGATAATATGCGACTACATTTGTTAGACTGGACAGTAGAACTATGTGACAGTTTGTTTTGATGATCTGTCTTGGTTTACCAAAATCTTGAAGCTTGTAAAGATTGTAGCCAACCTCCTTATGTTGAGGCAGCACATAGTCTAGCTGTGGATTTTACCAGGCAGTTGATTATATCGTCACAAACAAATACCTTTATAGTGAGGGAGAAGGACAATAGTTACCCTACTTTGTTTCTATTCATAGGTAAAGCAATAATTAGATGGCACAGTTCATAACTAATGCATAAAATCGATTATAAGCCTACCGAGTGCTTCTCTCGCACTGGCTCCCCCCCTATCCCATTTACATAGTTTCGCGACGTCAATTTACGAGTACGTGACAAAATTGTGAATGATCTATATCTAGGTCATTGCAGTGTAGCCTTCAGAAGTAATTGGCTTAGTAATATCTTATGGTAGGTGTACTGTGTTGTGTACTAAGCTTTATCGAATTTTACTTAGAAATTTCCACTCCATGGGTCTGTAATCGATTTGTTTGGACTAAGTGGAGACTAGACTGGTAACTATAGGTATTGAATTCACTATAGGTATTGGGCTAACGTTTTTGTCGTCATCGGATGACGCTAGTGTAACTTAGGGTCATATTTCGAATCTCTGTAGCTATCAATTATTTTATTTTTCCCACTATGAAAATTTACTGAAATGGTAGGATAACTTCTGCGATGGATAATGGAAATAAAATTCCTTAGTCGGCCACATCATAGTGTACCACCAGGCGAGATGGTAGCTAAACAACGTCATTAAAAAAATATCATTTACTAGCTACTTGCGCGCGGTTTCACCCGCTCTTCTCGGCTCCTATTGGTCGTAGCGAGATGTTTTATAGCCTATAGCCTTCCTTGTAAAATGGGCTATCGAACACAAAAGAATAATTCAATTCGAATCAGTAGTTTCGGAGATTAGCGCGTTCAAACAAACAAAAATACAAACTCTTCAGCTTTATTTATAATACTAGTATAGATTTTCATATCGAACTTTTAAATGGTTCTCTATTCTTCTTGATTCCTGTCGTTTATCTTATATAAAATGGCAATAAGGATTGTAACATGGCTCCCACACTCCACATAAGCCAACATCTTGTCATTGCGAACCTAATATGTTATTTATCGCGCTACGTGACTTTACACAGCTAAAATAGACCGATCTTAGTTATAAATGTACGTTCATATAAAAACTTCACATTATGTCCAATAATACATATTGTTCTAGTTTAAAATTCTGTTATTTCATATTTATGTTATTTTGTGCAATAAAAGTATTGATGATCTAGGTTTATAAATAGGGGATTTACCGATACAACACTTTTATCTTTTAGTATTCGTTTATTGACTTTCAAAAGCCCCTCGATTGTCCAATTGAATTCAATGAATGAGTTCACTTGTAATAGCGTAACTTCACACTTGTTCGGTTTCCAAAAAGAATAATTATTATGATAAAAAATATAAATTTAACACTGCATTGTATATGTATAAATAAATCTACATAAAACATTAATGTCTGGCAACTATCATTATTTATTTTACTGTCTAGCTTGTATCAAAACAATGTCCTTTGTCTGATAACTTATCTTCTGGTCCTGATATACAATTAAAGTCACCTACTATGCATAATTTTGAGGTGATTTATATAGATTAGATAACCTTTATTAGCACCCTTCGGTACGTCTATATTCTATATTATTTACTGAATGCGAATATTTATAAATATTAGATACCAAAACAATTACTTTCATGATATTTTTTTATCTTTCAAAAAATGTGCAAGTTATTGGTAATTGTATAATAAATTATCTGATTGTGAAATAAGTATGTAATATTTAGCATAGCGTAATATGGAAAATACCTGGAAGTACTTTATTTTTAGGAAAATCGTAATGAATTGATTGCGTTAAAGTGCACTTCAAATGAGGAAATAGTATATACCAAACAGATTTAGAAACTTTATGATTTTGTGATAGAGTCGAGAATCCATTGAAGAAATACAAATTATAATTGGCTGATCTGCGTCTTTTCAAATATTAGTTATTATACAAATATGACTGCACGGTTGGTGCGGTGGCTGGGGAACCGCCTGCCGTGCAACGTGTCGCGGATTCGATTCCCGCGGAACAACACTTCGTGTTGTTTTGGGTCTGGGTGTGATGTGTATGTGAAATTGTATGTTTGTAAACGCATCCACGACACAGGAGAAAATCGTAGTGTGGGGCAACGTTTAAAAAAAATACTTAGCCAATCATAATCGTAAACTTGTTTAAAAACGTACTAATATACTTTCTCATCTGTTTCCAGGTGACACGCGAGCTAGAACGCGGCAGTGATGATGCGAAGTACTACCAGGAGGTATTAGCTCCTCGTCAGCTCGCCAACTTCAGACCTTTCGACCTCGACGAGTGGTGGGCCCGTCGCCTCGTACAGAGCATAAACCGCAACAAACACCGGTCTTAGTTCCCGAACAAATTCGTTAGTGAACGACTTGATAACTGTGCCCATTGGAAGAAAAGCAATCTATAATTTTAGCTTGGTATAATTATCTAGACTTACCTAAGCGGCTCAAAAGATGGGCATTTTATGTCCACGTTCCATCGTAACTCAGTTGGCTATCTTACAAAACCCGTTGGCACATTCAAAAGGCCAATATTCAAACAGAAGCATTTAATTTTTACTTTTAATTATCATAAATCTGTGCAATCGAAAATTAAGTTGTATTTATAAGGTGTGAAATTGAATTAGGACAGTAATAATAATCATGAATTTAAAATTTTAAGGTTTTATTGTGTTATATCCATTCTGTCTCAATACAAAATGTAATTCTGCGAAACTTTTCCGTATTATGCAAACTACATATATTATCGATTCTTTATGGTTGTTATGCATCGTCAATTAATATTGCAATAGTTAAGGCATAAAAATATACAGTGGGTGTAGTAACGAGTCTTTCATATACAAAGTCTGTAGTGTCTCATTGTACAGTCTTGAAATACTCGTTCAAAGAGTTTAGAAGTATTCTACAAGCAGATTTTAACTATAAACTATCCGTAACCTTAGATTGTATAGACTGGAGACGACATTTCCTGTGCCTCAATTTTATCTGTCAGATTTCCCGCCAATTTGTACGTCAAAACTCACCTCACTTTTTGAGGTTATCCTAGCCAAATGATGTCCATTTCAGCCCACATGCAGGATTTTCTTTGTGACTAGTTTTTGGCATGTGGTTGTCTCCAGTATATTTTCTCGTATTTCACGGTAAATAGATTTTTATCTTCTACTCTGAGTATTAGATGCAGTTGTACTTATAATTAGATTTTAAACTTAATAATCTTGTAGACTTATGCAATGCAATATTATTTTTTATACTACTACGTTATTTACTACGTTATATTGGTTTTATATACCATTGTTTTGTAGTTTTAGTAGTTCAGCTTAATTTTGCAATATTGTAGCTAATTTTGTTTTCAATTTTAATGCTTTTTTCTTGAGGAAGTATGTAGCACTGCATGGATAGCCCATAGAAACTGTATAGCCTATGGTTCTCTATGGATTGTTAGTACAACCTTTTTGCAAGCTGTAAGTAATTTTTGCACAGAATAAAAATTAAAGTTTTAATCCTATCTCTTCTTCTAATCTTCACTCGAATTTTAGATTATCCTAATGTTATTATCATGGCAATGAGACATTACTGCCCCGAGATTATGTTTTACATTTTTAGTTTCCCTTCGTTATGTGAACTTTTATTTCAATCCTTCTAGTGTTGTAGAAATAGTAACTTCAAGTAATATGAAATAGCAATAAGTAACTTTGTTATTTACTTTCATGTTTTAAGTAAAGTAGTACATTAATAATCACAATGCGACGATACACATAGGTACATAAAATGGAACGTAATATTAATAAAAGGAACGAATGAAAAGTAACCTTATCTATAATCATATACAGTATAAAGTACATTGTAAACACGTTTTGTAATAAATTGTGATATAAATTATTTGTACGTTGTCGAAGCAATAATTGAAGTTGACATGAAGGCGGGAAACATTGTTTTTAAAATGTTTTTCAATGAAGTAGGTGATGTTAGGTATTGTATTGTAAATAAGTTAGTATGAATTTCTATTTTTATTTAATAATTGTAAGTAAATGTGTCATTGCGAATTAGAATTGGCTAGAATATTGTGTTTTAACATAAACTGTTGACATAAGTTTGGGTACACTGGCGTGCGTATAATGGGGGCATTTAAATAGCATTTTTACAACTTTTTTTTATGGCCGCCAGTGTGTTTGAGCTGTAGCTTTTAGAGATTGACCTGACGTTAGATCTGCCTCAGACGATGGTTGTAAAGGGTGGATTAGTCTGTAGGCTGTATGATCCTGTAATAGTTCATCTACATTCCATTCACGTATGTACTTAGCGTTTCAAACTATTGTAAATACGTTATAAGTGACGCAGTGCTGACAGATTATGGATTTGAATAAATTTTTTCAATAAATTTGTTTTTGGTTTCTGTTTTGTTACCCCAAAAAGCATTGTACGCTAGTTGATCGAGTGAATAGAAAAGTTGATGTATGAGTTGGATACTATAATTTGACCATTTATGTTAAGCCCATACGTTAAAGTGTGGGAGAGCCATGCTTAGGCACGATGGGCCGGCTCGACCGGAGTGGTACCATGGCCTTACAGAAAACCGACGTGAAACAACACTTGCGTTGTGTTTCGTCGTATGAGAGGTTACCGGAGGCTCAATTAGGTACCTCAAAAGACCGCTAACGCATTTGTGTGCCCACCTCTGGGTGCCCATGAGCAACGCCGAGCCTCGATGCTTATCAGTTGATCCGTCTGTTCGTTTGTCGGTTTATTCCATAAAAAAACTGGGTTGATGAAATCAATATTTAGTTACAGCTTATGTGAAGCAAAAAATTCAACGAAATACGTTGAAAAATATATAAGGTAATTAATGTTTTTGTAATAAGGGTAGTTGAATGTATACGATACCTGATAGCTACCCATTTCAGTTGTCGCGGAGAACCTAACGGGTTACCGGGGCTCCGGCTCGACGTGCAGGAGAAGGAACGGGGTGGTTTTTAGTCAGTAGGAGTCTAACACTCCCTCCCGCCTCACCCAGGGGAGCAGTCATTCGATGATTTTCCCCCCATAAAAACCCATTTCAGTTCTTAGTGTTTATCATTAAATGTCATTTTTATAAAAGTGTTGATGTATCGCAGGGGTGTGCTAAAGATTTATTTTTTGTTATAACAGATTCGCGGAATGGAGATTGCTATCTAACTATCTACTGACAGTTTTATAGGCACACAACTCAAGCAAATAAGTGATGATCACTACATAGTATAAAACAAAGTCTATCTGCCGTCTGTCTGTCCCTATCTACCTATGCTTAGATCTTTAAAACTACGCAACGGATTTTATTGCGATTTTTTTATTAGATACAGTGATTCTTAAGGAAGTTTTATATGTATAATACATGCATATTGCACCCGTGTGAAGCCGGGGCGGGTCACTAGTGATTTATAATAACAAAAAAAAAAAATAGAGGAATATAATAAGACATTGTGAAATAAGGCCCTTAATTTTATGAGTCACAAAGAAGCGTTAGGAATAAACAGAGACACATCGAAGCGATTTGTGGCAGAAAAAGGTCTTACAAAGCCTTGGGACCTCATTGAGTATTCTATTTATGCTAGAGAAGTTAGCTACATCTCAGTCACTATGAGTTAAGTAGACACCTAGCCAAGCTTATCGTTTATATTATTTATCGCGGAAAGTTTCGTAACTCTCATTTATTTTTTGCTTCTCAAGTGCCCGTCTGGCGGCTGAACTATTTAATGTAATTAGGTACTGTGTGTTACAAGTTCAAGACTGATATTATGTTCTGTTTATTATTAAGAATTTTTTGGTTTTTCTTTATTTTTAACCGACTTCAAAAAGAAAACAAAATGCTGTCTTCACTTTGACCTGTGTGTATGTATGTATGTGCACAATTATCTCGCGATTGGCTGAACCGATTTTGATGTGGTTTTCAGAAAAGTATTTGTTACACGTAGGATAAGGTTTTCGTTGGAAGGTTGAAGTCGGTTTTTTAATGTAGGTGGTTTATAATAGAATTGTGTACCTATCTAGTTTTGATTTGTTGGTTCATTCGATTTGCAGTTAGAATTTTACTGTGCAATGTGTGATATAGGTTTGGGTAGGTAGGTAGGTACTTAAAGTATTGAATTGTTTATCAACGATGAGGCACCTACTCTACAGATACCTACTTCTGAAAACTGTAGATAAATATTTTACCTTCTAATAAATTACCTTAATCAGGTCATCTGTCCTTGCGGATGGACGTCCTACACTGCGCTTGCTGGTACGTGGCCTCCACTCGAGAACCTTCCTACTCCAGCGGCCATCGATTCTCCGGGCTATGTGCCCTACCCACTGCCACTTCAACTTGCTAATCCGCTGGGGGATGTCGGCGAGCTTTGTTCGTTTGCGGATTGCCTCGTTTCCTCGGATCTTCTAAATATCTTCTAAGTACTAAATAACTTCTAACTTCTAAGACAAAAATATGTAGTGTAAGGTAATTAATTTGAAGAGTAATATGTAAGTAGGTTATTTAAAAAGAGTCGTAAAGCAAGTAACTGCCATAAATAAAACCGCTGCAAAGTATAAATAGCGGAGTATCACAACTTGATGTATGCCTTATAGGGCTGTCGCGGATTTATGTTAATGCGAATATTATTTGGTTTGGTGAAGTAGGATCGCGACTTCTTGTAGTTTCACGTCAGATGGCCCGTCAGTAAGTCATTTATAGCTAGCATCTTCCTGCTATGACTTTCAAATCGGTCAGTTGAAAGCGACCATTCAGCGGCATCTATGCTTAGGCACAGAATACTAGCCTAGGTTAATATGTGACCTTAGGGGCCACGGGTGCACAGAGTGGGGACTCTAGGTGCCAATCTAGTGGCCTCAGGGAAGACGGTAGCACAGTGGTCACGTGCAGCATCGCGCTGACACGCTCGTCTCCCTAGGGATGTGCTGTATCAGGCGTTGCAACGTGGGGGCTCCGAAGCAAGTCTCTTCAGAGGACCCGGTGCCCTTTACAGGTGCTCAGGGTGGCCACCGGGTGGTTATAGTGAGGTAAGAATCCCACACTCCCTAGTCTTTCTCCCCAAAAAGCTAGGCGCCTTTTAAAGGTATCCCCCCGACTTCAAAATAAAAAAAAGGTTAATATGTGAAGCGAATTGGTCGTACGGTAACGTCACTCACAAGATGCAAGCGTTGTTTCACGTCGGTTTTGCTGTGAGACTCTCCCACGCCCAAACCTAACACCTAAAAATTGTCAGCACTTTAGAAGTCACTAAATCACAGATACAATAAACTGTGCTAGAACAAGATCTCGTCTCACCAACCCTGATACTTGAGATGTATTTCAGGCATTCATATATTCATATGGTCGTCGTTCAAACACAGCGGCTTGTTGTTCGCAGCGTGTATTTGCGTAGCGACCGCGACCGCGGAGACGCGGCCTGTAATGAGTTTCAAAGTCCCACAAAGAGATTACAACATGACAAGTTTTTGTTGTTCATCAGGTTCAGCGATAGATAGAAATAGTGCGGGAGTAATTTGATTGGATTCTCCAGTTGACTGTTGGTAGGAAAATCCCGTTTATCCAGGTATCTAGAAGTCCACTTCTCAACAAAGGTCAAATGATTGATAATGAAAATTTAAGAGACCTTCCTCCTTTAAGTTTGGTATAGTATTTTTTGTTTTTTCTTTAATACACTAGGATTTCTCCTGTGTCTGTGTGCGTTTACAAATAAACAATTTCACATACACATTACACCCAGACCCGGAACAACAATTTGATGATCACACAAAGAGTTGTTCCATGCGGCAATCGAACCTGCGACACGTTGCGCGGCAGCCAGTTGCCCAGCCACCGCATCAACCGTGCAGTCAATAAATATAGGTACCTAGTCCAGCTTGGGGAGCATTTCGAACGCAGTTAGAACACTGGAAATAGTAAGAAGATGTCTCTGTCGGTTTATGTACTAAATACCGAATTTGTTAGTATCGCCATTATTCATTTTTTAATCATACTTTTTAATTTTTTAAACGAATTGTTTGGTGCGTTTGAGTATATAGTTTCAGACCCTTTCATCATTTTTAACTAGCTTCTGCCCGCGACTTCGTACGCGTAATCCCATTTTTCCCGTCCCCGTTCGTGATTTTCGGTAAAAAGTAAAAAAAAGTATTGGTTAAAAAGTATCCTATGTCGGTCTCCTGACTCTAAGCTACCTCCTTACCAATTTTCGTTCTTGAGTTATAAGTAACACGACTTTCTTTTATATATATAGATTTTTGATTCCCTTTGTTGTTGTCTTTTGTTTCGACAGTTAGCTATAATGATCAGGTAACGACCCTCAATCAACAACAACAAGACAGCGACTTTCAAAGCAAGTTGTTGTACATACCTATCACTTAAAATTAAACCCTTCAAGAAATATGAAGTCAAATATCACTCATGATAAGGACATGATTTGTAATATCAACTCTAAGTCAATTAAGTTAAGGTACATATTCCATGCAAAACATTATAAAGCGCTTTGAAAAATCGAATGTCCCCTAAAACGGTGGTGTCTAGCAACCCTTCCACCCCGCCGCGTCGCCCCCGTAATTACAATTTAGCTAAAATGCCATGAATTCCTTTTTTCTTTTCTTAAATATGTAGGTACTCCAGCCATCTCAAAATTATTGGAATTTTATTATTCAAGAACGAAATAAAATAATGATTTCTGTTTTCTTGGTAATTTGAAAAATTATTTTAATAATAAGAGATTATTCAACAGTTCACACTTAAATAATTTCAGCGAACCGTCTGAAACTCTGAAAGAATAAAATGTAAACTAAAATGGTACCAACCCATTGTACCTTCGCACACTTTTAATATCGCCAATTAAAAAAAATGAAAATAATAAAAAAGACTCAGTTACATCAATAATTAATTTATTTTTGCATCTGATCCAGTGATCACTTCAGTATGATTGTCATAGATAAATTATTCGGACAGCCAGCATAAATCAAAAGTTGGGTTCCAAACGTCGAACAGTGATTGAGCAATAATCTGACACGTTACACGGCGCACCGGTCGTTTCTAACCGACGATTAATCGCTGAAATCGAGTCGAAATTTAATTAATCGTTAACGAAGTGCGAGTATTTCGAACAGGCGTGTTTGGAGCCGCGAGTGACGAATCGTAACTCGGTATTGGCCGTGTTAATTGATTGCTTTTACCTTTCTACCGCTTTATTGAATTGAATATCAAAATGTTTGTCAGTTTGGATTTATTGTTATTGTACTTTCACGAAAGTTTCGAAGGCATCGAGTTTTATTCTCGCCCTTGATATTGATATTTATGCGTCGCTGAATGTCAAGTGACTGGTGGAAAATTTGTGTTTATGTTACAATCTACTCACATAACTTGAGAGGCTCTGGTTTTAGGAGATTAGGTTTTTAGTGTCAAACAATTACCTAAGTATCTATTAGAAATCTAACTAAGGTCCGATTTTTCCAACGTCACATATAAACAACTGAAAAATCACTTTGAATATTTGACAATTCTTTCATACTAAAAACTGTCAAATGTTAATATTATTTATTCTACGCTAAGTCTTCTGTGACCGTCATCGACTACTCTGTTTCTCACATGCTTTTTATCTCCTTTTATACGTCAATATTGAAAGAGATGATCACCATCCTCCTAGAGTCTTTGAATTAACTGATGATTGAGAAATCGGCCCTAAGTATAAGACCTTAATGCCTCTTAGGTCTCTTTTTTCTTTGATACACTATTTACCACACGGTGGAAATCCCCTCATGGAGCCCCCTCATCTGAGGAAGACGAAGGGGACTGTCAGAAAAACTAACAAAAACCACCCCCATGTCATAGATGGGCACGACGGTACGGGAACTACATAGGTACTCCTACAATTAAGTATTTATATAACACATGAATTAGGTATAACTAGATTTTATTGCATGCCAACGAGCAGATTGATCTCCTGATGGTAAGCAATTAGTGCCGTCTATAAATACCCGCAAGACTAGAGGAGTCACAAGTGCGTTCCCGGCCGGCAGAAGGAATAAAGTCGTACCTATGTATAATATATAAACAACCCTTTAACAGAAAATAGACGTGAGCTTACAAACATGATGTTTTGTTTGTGTTACCAAAGGCTGAACATAAACATTATTTCTCAATACTTATGTTGTCGCTGTTTGAAAGCCGATTTGTAAGTTAAAATATACCAACAAATTTTCCGCTAAGATACCACACAATAATAATATTGAGTTGGTTAGAGTACCTACCCACATATAACGCCATTCGTGTGTGTGTTTTTTTAAGGGGATTATCATCTAATGACTGCTCCCGCCTGGGTGAGGCGGGAGGGAGTGTCAGACTCTCACAGACTAAAAACCACCCCGTTCCTACTCCTGCACTTCGAGCCGGAGCCCCGGTAATCAGTTTGGTTCTCCGCGACTCCGAGCCATTCGTGAGATAGTGGTGTGGAAAATTTTAGGAAATAGACTTATTATATAAGTAATTGTAGTAATTGTATTCTTAAAATAGCTTCAGCCCACTTTGCCCACTTTCCTGTAGGATAAAAACGGGGTTGCCAGTGTTATTCCAAACCGTAATCTACCCCTGTTCCAAATTTCATCCTGATCCCTTTAGCGGTTTTGGTGTGAAAGGTTAACAGACAAACATACATACAAATTTTCTCATTTATGATACCTATTAATTGGTTGTTCGTAAGAATTCTTTGCCCATGCAAAACGTTATTAGATATAGGATTTCCACAATAAGACAAACATTCTCATTTCCAGAAGAAAATAACAAGCGTAACAATAAATTTGGATACACCTTTAAATAACATCCCTAATATTGTTGTGCAGCCTCCTTAGTACGAGTTTCATTTTCGTATAAAGTAATCGTATCGAGTACGCGTTCGGCGCTCTGATTGGTTGGTTATTTGGCGCCGGCCAATCAGTGCGCCAAACGCGTACTTGTTTCGAATACTTTAAACGTAAATGAAACTCGTACTTGACCTCCAGGTCACCTTAGGAAGACACGAAAGAGTAATTATTGCAAAACTAATCTAGGTCCTTAATTGAAATCTTCAGCATATTTTACCAGACCTAATCATTTTAGAGTCACTGTTATTCTTATATTTTTACTTATCCCGACTAACCGAGAGGTGACCTAAATATGAAATAAGTCCTCCAGCTAGAGGAGCTATGATATTTAAATTACAAGAGAAGGTCTGCAGTCGTAAAATAGTCTATCTTGGACGTCACGGTTCATTAGCAGCGTTCTCGGTGCCCGATAAAAGGGCGACTCCACGAGTAGGTATAAGCTGCTTTGCGCGTCTCATTACTTTGTTTTTGTTTCTTTTCTTTTGCCCTGGTTATGAACTTTTTGTGGTTTGGTTTGCATAAATTCTTTTTTGTTTGTTATTGTTAAAATTAATGAGGTTTGTGTAAATAAAGTCTAGGCTTCTTTGAGGTTTTGATAAGACCGTCTTATGATGTCTGTGAGCGGGCTTGTCTATCTGAGGTCTTATTTTAGGTTTAAAAACATTGTTCATTATTTGATTTATTTATTGTCTAAAATTAACATTCCTCAACACTGGCTGTATAGTCGATAACACCGTTTTGGAGACTCGGTTGCCAAAGAAGAAAAAAAAAATCATCACACGTAAACTTTTGTAGAATTTTCTATAAATACCTAATTAATAATTATGCAGAAAAGTAGGGATTTAAAACTTAATACTAAATAAAACGAACTCAACTGTCGCAGTAAAATATTTTTATTTGTTCATAAAATCAGCGAGGTCGTCGGGATCAGTCCGTATTTTTTTAATATATATTTTTTAATATTTGCTTCGTAAAAAAATATGGTTTGTATACTCGTTGAACCATAGACTTGCTTGTGTCGTCTTTTAATCCTTAATACTGGTACAATGAGATATTGATTACAAGATAGTATTATGATTTTATCAAAAAAAAAAATTACTTAACAGTAAAATTATTGAAATAAATGTGTCAAAATGACAGAAAATATAGACGAAAAATATTTGTTATTATTTACACTCAGTTGACAGGTTTCTGTTGTTACATTGTCAATAGACGAGGAACTTATTATTTGAAAGGGTTTCCCGCCAAAACCTTTTACTCATAAGAAATGACGGGAGAAAATATTTGTACTATATTTAGAAAATAATCTAATTTTAAGGGTACGTTTACGTGGGTAGGAATATGTTTACGTCAAATAGAATAAGAACTGATTTTAATATGACATTTTAGAAATTGCTTTCACATGCTTGCATGACATTTTACATCATGAGTGACAGATAAGTTAGCCAGTTTTGAAATTCAACCACAGACTATACAAAACCATCAGAAAATTAAGAAAAAACTATTTAACCGCAAAATTCTTAAATATTTGAGTCATATGATGGTGTTGCAAAAAAAATCTCATTGTACCAGTATTTCGGGAAGTTTCTGTGGGGGATCTAAGCTTCAGCAGTAGGTTGGGCGGTGGACTGCGCAGTGGCGACGCTGGTCGTGGTGGAGACACTGTCAGGGTCCTGTTCACGGACTCCCATCCAGGGGAGACGCTTCTGGAGCTCCGCCCTGTGTTAAGAAAATTTTCTTAGTAGACGAAAAATTTTTTGTGGACTATTTGGTGTTTGGCATTTAGCATTTCTGAAGTACCTAGTTCGTAGTCCGAAGTTGTTTCTAAGACTTACGGTTTACTTGTAAAGGTTAGCTCCGAAATTGTGTATTTTAAAACGTTAAAATAACTACAGTTACTTAATTTAATAAAACTCAAATGAACTTTGACTTTCGTTAAGCGTCCAACAGAAGAAGGAAATTGGATGCCGTTCGTTTAATAATACGAGGAAAATTACACGGATTATCGATTTTTTTTCTTGTTTTACTCTGAAGCACATTACTTAGATGAAGACGATTTATCTTACACATATCTTAGTGATATTGAACATATGCTAAACTGCACATATACTAATGACTAACTAGATAAAAAGAGGGCAAATTTTTAGGGCCAAAAGTTTAATTTGTTGGAGCGTAGATATAAGTTAGCGACAACGTATTTACAGTATCTCATAGAGTGACAGTCATGAATTTAATGGCTGTTATTACTGACCTGTATCTGGGATGATTAATCGCATACACCCATGGGTCTATGCAGGACACCACCTTGCAGCAGACAGCTGGCACCATCGTCGCTATGGGAGTCAAGAGGCTCCTAAAAAAGGAAAAGATATTTACAGTGTGACGAAGATTTTTGAAATACTTCTTCTAGACTTAGTGTTGTAGGTTGTAGTAGTGTTTTGCTGTTTTTTTGGTTCTTAGCATTGTTACTTGTACTGAGCAAATTTTCTCAGTAAACTAAACAATTTGTCCATTTGAATCTGTTTGAAATGTGATCGCTTGTTATGGTTATAAACTTCGATCGTTACTATTTTAATTCTTCTCGGATCTCCTGACTTCTGATTGAATTTCCAACATCTTGCCTTTAGAAGCCCACGCGAAAACTTGTAACTCAGAAGCTACTTGAGTACTTTTATGGATTTATAGTCATAAACAAGTGAAATTTGCCCTTTAGCGTCATTCCTTCATCCATCTATCAAATAATACACGAACAAGGGTGGGACTCCCACGCGTCTTGTCGACACCTACATACTTTTTCTTATAACTGAAGTGGAAGTGTCAGCCTGTGTTATTCCATTTTATTTCTGACGATATCATAAACGTCTTGTGCTTGTAAACCTCATGTTTAATATTTCTTTCAGTTGTAAGTAGTGACTTATTCCTTTATGGTATCGCAGAGGTGTTAAAGATCTGTCCTTTTCTGAGCTTACAATTTTTTTTTGTTAGGCTTTTAGGCTTTTTTGGTTTGCTTTCTTAACTAAGGGCTTAAATGTTGAAATCGTTCAAATAAGTACTTTTTTTTAACTTACTCAGCTAAAACGTTAATCCACATTAAATTGTACAACAATACCTGCGAATCATTTTGTCGATGAAGCCACATAAGACTGTTAGGCGTCTTGGATTAAAATATTTACTTCTAAGAAAAATGAAGTATTTTAATCGGTTTATACAATGTATAGCAGATATACATTTGTATCTATAAAATAAGAATTTTTGATGTTATACGTAGATCAACTGTAATTTAGGTACTGAGAACTATGCTACCTCTAATACAGTGAGAGACAGCTAACAATAATTATCTGCCTGTCTCTCACTAACTATTTATTCAAATTTGTCAATTTGTCCCCAGCCATCACCTTATCTTTAACCCCTTCTAGGCAAACAAAGAACACTCACCTATCACCAAAAGCACCAGTCATAGTGACGAAGGCATAAGGAGTCCACGCACAGACGAACAGGAAGAATATAGTGAAGGCTACTTTAGCGATCCTGATCTCAACGCTCCGGCTCGCGTCTTCCTTGTTCGCGGCTAAAGACTTGACGTTCATCTTCTTGGCTTGCTCTGATAACATGCGCTCGTGAAGACGGACCTGGGAAACAAAAAGAGGATCAAGACTGTACAGTTATGGGAGTTCCTCCAGGCCTTTTCATATGACCTATTTTTATTTAACTTGATTGATATTGGATATTTCTTTTTCCTGCTGAAAACGGTGTCGTCGTGGGGAATGTAAGGTTGAATTTTATAATAAAGATGTTGGTACACGCTTGTCGAAACATGGTTTTTCATTAAAAACTAAACAAATATTATTGCTTAAGCAACGTCTTCTTAAGTTATCTTATTGAAACTATAAGACCCAAATAAAATGAAAGAATGGCATCAATCCAAGCAAAAGACAAAATAAGTACCAGGAGAGCAGAATAGCGATACAAGTTACCAAGTTATAGTCGACGATGAACGATACATAAACACAGTACATAAGTACCACTAAGCGTTAACCAATACAATCTACAAACTGCTACTTTTATAACATTCCTCGGCCATTCCGCCCGAGATTAGCGTTGCGGGATTCCAAAATGTTTCAACAATCGAATCGCTGTCGTTCGGATTTCTATTCGAGTGAACAATCGGTGCCCTCGTCGATCGTTTTATTCAAAATTCAATTTGATTAATGCACTGAGTATCGATTCTTGGAAATCTATTTTGTGTTTTAAAGGACTCTATTTTGTGTTGTTAAGTGTACATAGATCTCGTAATAAATTGAAATAGAGATTGTGTTATTCAGAGATGTGTCATTTTTTATGTAGATATTGTACTGACCTTTTTTAAATAAACTGATTATTGTATTTGTAGGTTTGTTATGACCAGAAATCCTATAGGCTTTATATAGTTAGTTATTATCTCTACCGAATGCAGATTATTGACTTTCACATTCTTATTTATTAGCTCCCATAGGACTCTGGTATATATATCTGTTCAATCCAATATTATCTTAGTTGCAAAACTCGAATAAAGTCGAATGAAATACGCTCAAAAGGTACAACGCTACCCCGGATCGAGGGATTCGGGAATTCGTGCATTCGTTCAAACAAAAATAATTCTTAATGCTTCTTCCTTGTATCCTAAGGAAAAACTTTTGAATTTTCCGTTTAAATTGTTACCCGAAGAATTCTTGAATCGAATAGCTCTGAGATAATTCTCATTTATTTGTAAAACTTTTCGTTATAAGTGAACGGAATTGGGCATGGTTCAATTTTAGAGCTGTATTGTGTTGGATGGGATTGACATTCAAAGGTCTGATGAAAAAGACCATACATAAGGTACTTGCTTCTTTGCAGGTTTGATCTGTATCAAAATCATTAGGTTTCTTAAAATTTACCACGGTTTTCATACACATACTTTTTTAAGCAAACAACACCGAGTTATTAACCAAAACACACAATTTATTAAAACGAAGCAAATAAAAAACGGTTTTGCAATACCCCAATTTTCAATTTTGGTCGAACGAAAGCGTTTCTGTCCAATTTTCCTTGAAGGGAAAACGAGAAAAAAAACTGAACAATCAGACTTTTAATTATCAGTCTTGTTAAATCGCGTTTTTCGAGCGTCGACGGGTCGTGAATTAAAAAAAAAACATGAATGAAACGTTTTTGTTCAACCTCCATTGACGTAATTATGACGTGTCAGAGGGCGCTGCTGTTGCAAAATGATGATACGAAGTTTTATTAAATAAATCACTTAAGTATTTTCTCTTTATTTTTCCTGAAACTGTGGTTATGTAGATATTTAGTAATTATTATTATTAGTATTTTATTGCATATTATTACGGCATAGTAAAGCAGTGCGCAAGTAAAGCAGTATTTATTTATCGGAAGACGCAAAATGCGTCTTTATATTCCAGATAGAACTTTAATCAACTATTTAATTCATGCATGCTAATTTACCTACCTGCATTAAGGCTATGAAAAATATTTGTTGTGCGAGTTAAAGCAAATGTTATGAGACTTTGTCGTGTAAGTACCATATATGACTTGTACAATACGTGTGTCACTTAATCAGTTTGTTCTCGAACCGCGATGGAACTCCAATTCAAATTTAATTTCGACTGTTCTCAGTTTGTAGTGATGGGAAACTTCGGAGTTCGGCGAGACCGAGAGTTTATCCGAAACAATTCGAGGTGACGAACTTAACAAACAATTTTCGTTCTATGTCGGAACTTTAGTGATTCGACATTTTTTGTCTGAACGTAGTTTACGAGTGCCGTGTCGAGGCTACGCGCGAATGAATGTTATTTTCTGTTATTGTGTTTATTGAAGAAAAATTGATTGTTAGGTTTTTGGGCCGACGAAAAAGGTTATTATTTGTTTAGGGTTTTTGAAGGGGAGTTTTACCTTTTTGATGTCAAACGAGTTTCGGCTTTTTGTCAAACTTTGAAGGTTTGATTTTGAACAATGTAGATAGGTTTGACAACTAATATTTAAGTTGAAGTATAAAGGGTAGCTTTGGACATGTGTGGTTACCTAATGTGTCCAGATCGCTTTGAAGTCACATTATTATAGTACTGAATTTAAGCACAGCTTTTATTGGGTGACTTTTACGACTTTGCTTGGGTACCAAAGACAAGATAGATAGACCATGAATAGCATTTCTTGGGATTTAAAGAGCACATTTTGGAACTATGAGCTGACCCAGTGAATTCAGAAATCGCACCATAATCGAACTGACAGTTGATACGAACGAAAATTTTTATTAGTTTGTCCCCAACAGTTTAATATTTAAATTAGTTTATATTTAAATACGTAAATAGAAAACAAATCCAAGATTATTGACCTATGTACATATGTATGACGAATGGACCATTATCAAGTTAAATGTAAAATGGGAAAAAGTAGGTACAGTACTTAGAGCTTTTCTCAAGTTTTTCACGCGATTTTTAGTTAATTTAGTATGTCTCACGATAGTTATTATAAAAACACGGGAAAAAGTAGGTATGTATATTATATATAATATAACTACTTATAAGTTGTTATCCCAGTTTCACGAGTGTGTTTCTTCGGATAATAAATAAAACATCTTAAGTAGTTGAAATAGAAAAAAATATGTAATCGGATTTCTTCTATTCATTGCTGTGTTTGGCTGAGATTACCTCACGAGGTAAATCTTATTACACCTGGCGTACATTGTAAGCCGATTCCGAAATGATGAGAGCAGTCTTGCATGAGTTATATTTTTGAAATAGCTGATAATTTTTGATACGCGTATTTAGTTAATACTGAATTTATGTTTCTTTTTTGTTTTCTTTAGTAAAAGCCCGTAACGGCCTGTTTCACAATATCTGATAATGTTTGCTGTTTGCATATATTTTTCACATTTCATTATATAGATAATTGAAAATGAATTTCCGTTCGTTAGTTTCGCTAAAACTCGAGATCGGCTGAACCGATTTGGCTACTTTCGTCAATTAATTTGATTGGCCGATTAAATTGACCGGAGTGATACCACGGCCTCACCGAAAACCGACGTGAAGCAACGCTTGCGATGTGTTTCGTCGTGTGGGTGAGGTTAGGTTACGGGTCATCTAGCTTTATAAAAAAATGCGTCTAATTCTTAATACTCAGTTAAATTACAAGACTTCATTACACTTTGTGTACCTAATAGGCACATATTATAGGGGAGGGAAATATACCAATCCTTTTAGTGCAATACAGGGCAAGTACGGAAATGTGTGCGTATATGTTTGTCCTTTTTTCATGACAAACAGAGCGACGGATTGACCTGATTTTTGTATGGAGATTGTTGGATAGCTGAGATCGACGAAAGTACTAAACACAACCGCTTATTTATACAAAGTTGTGTACAAATAATAAATAGCTGGTTTTTTATTTACCTAGTGTTGTAGTGAAAGCATTGATAACTAGATAGACTATATTTATCGCAAACAATTACATTATGTAATTAAAACTGTGAAACAGTGTGTTAAAAGGGGTGTTTCTCCGAAATAAATTAATTTTTATTATTTTACAATCTTCCCGCGTTGTTAAGCATCGCGGTAACTTGTTAGCATCTGTATTTTTACTGGTCGAGAGCAGTGACTCAGCTCAATTACTTGAAACCAAATTTTGTGTTTTAACAGCAGAATTGTTAACTTTGGGTTTAGAACAGGGACGCCGTTAATTTTTTGCAATTCTTTTTTTGTACAATCATCCAAGACCATGATAAATAGGTAATTAAAACTATCCAAATGTACACCAATCCTAACAATAACAAAACAATGACAAGAAACTAATATTGTTTTCCTTTAATCAAAGCTTTGCGCTGATTGGCTAACACGATTCAGTAACAAAATGGCGGCATGATCCCTTAATATAAATAGGTTAATTGAATCGAAATATATCACTGTAATAATCACTACGGGTATTAAGGGCGGGCAATCAAATAGGAAGGCAGATCTTTCGGCCTTTTGTGGGATAAAATTACCTTTCTAGGTTGTTGGGAAATTATTGTAACGTGTTTTGTGTGATTCGTTTTCATATTGGATTGTTGTTGATAGTTTCTATTATCGTGATAGCTACAGGACGACATTTTTTTTTAAAAGGGTTTTTTACTTTTTTTTTTAAATCTGCCTCGTTGGCCGAGTTGTGGCAAGGGGTCTCGGGTTTGATTCCGGGCAAAGTATTAATGTGTTTTTAAAAAAATCTCAGTAGTAACACGGAGTCTGGAATTGTGCTCGGTATATGGCAATAGGCTCACCTATTACATGGCACTTATAACATAAATAGTGAAAAGTGGGTGTTACATTGTACAGTGGCATAATGTGCACTTCTGCCTACCGCTTCGGGGATAAAAGGCGTGGTGTTATGTTATGTGGTCTTTTAAGTTTTCATTAAAAATGTGGTCCTTCAACTATAATAGTTAGGTACTTTTAATTAACTCCTATATTTCACTAACAATGTTGGGAGTCCCAAAAATTGAGAGTGAGCCTTTACGTGACGGGTACTTTTCTGGACTTCTGGGGAGTTCGAAATACTTAAATGTAGAGCAGACACCCTTTTATCTATCTTTATATAAAACGAGAACAAAAATATAACAGTCATAATACCTAACAGTCACATTCGTATTTCGAATATAAAGAAACTATTCTAGATGCGAAGGCGTTCTAGTGCCTATAAACGGCTAAGTGGGTGTTGCCATATGAAAAAATACAGTCACAAAATGGCAGAAATCCTTCAAAAGTACTTGAGAAAAAACATTTTATCGTTAATGATCTAGTACTGTCACTAGGATTACTTTATGTCAAGTTCACAAATCCTTTTTGATTTATATTTTATTACAAGATAAATATAAATGTTTTAAAAGAAAATGAGACGCCATCTTTTCCAAATATGACGTATAACTTTGAGAATAATCTGTCAAGATTATTTTTGTTTGTTTCAAGTGTTATTCAGATGGATTTTGTTTTATTTGTTTGTTTAATTGATGTGACTTGAAGTTTACTCAGAAAGTTGTCTACAGATTTTTATTTCGGATTTAATAAATTCAAGTGTGGATTTAATAAACTCAAGATTCAAGTGTGGGAGAGCCATGCTTCGGCACGAATGGGCCGGCTCGACCGGAGTGATACCACGGCCTCACAGAAAGCCGATGTGAAGCAACGCTTGCGTTGTGTTTCGTCGTGTGAGTAAGGTTACCGGAGACCCAATTACCCTCCCCTTCCCCAATCTTCTCAATCCTTGAATCCGAGTGAATCCCCAACGATCCTCAAACTCCTAATCCCTAAAAAGCCGGTAACGCCTTTGGTGTTCCAGGTGTCCATGGGCGACGCTGATTGCTTACCATCAGGTGATCCGTCTGCTCGTTTACCGGCTTAAGCCATAAAAAAATTCAGTAAATATTATATTTGATTCATTTTTTCGTAAGAGGTTCGTATGAAACTTGCACTTTGACTTTATGCAGAAGTAGGAGTCAGACTTCGAGCTTTTACTGAGAATTAAAAGTAAAAACCTGTTTCCAACACGTGCAAAAGACCAACGATACGGTGGCAGGAACAAAAGACCCTTTAATCAAAAACCAACGAGCTCTAATGCTTACCTACTTAAGTCAGCTCATGAGATCATAATCTACTTCGTACATACTGCTAACACACTCGAGCAAGGCCTGTAAAGTCTTGCAACTAAAACTCAGCTAATTAGTCTAGTTTTAGCCTTGAAAACGGGACACACGTGGCCTAAAATTAGTCTGCTTTTACCTAGATAAAACACAAGGGGAGTTATTAAACTTAATAAGGTTAATATATGGTTAAACTTCACGGCCACCTGTTTCTCTTTGCAACGAATTATGTTTATTCTCTTCTGTTGTTTGTATAATACTTATCTACGCAATAAAAGTTCGTAAGTCAGTTAATATCATCTGTAAGTTATTATTGTGAAAGTTTCACGTGGATGTTGTTTAATATTTTCGTGTTATCTGCTATGAAAATTAGATTTATTATGTGAGAAAATTTGGTCTTTGTCAAAACGTATTGAACGATCCTGAAAAATTCAAAACTGTGTTCTGAAAGATGGAAATAAGAAGAAAGAAAGAAAGTTTGGAAAGGCTTGTGCTATATCCAACCGTAAAGGGCTGACGTCGATGATGATTCTAAAGAATTCATGTTCATTTGTAACTTACAGCACCAAACAGCTGTGAGTAGAAGTAGCAGATGAGCGCCATTGGTATCGCGTAGCTCCACACGAAGATGCAGCCGACGAACACCTTCGTATCCTGGTCATCGGTGAAGTAGTCGAATGAACACGTGGTGAGGAAGCCCTCTGCAATGAAACGGTAGATTTACATGCTGAACATGGTAATCTCTGCCTTATCTGGCTCAAAATTTGTGCTACAAACTCTTTGGGTAATGGCCAGTAGAATCATTATATGGTGCGAGATTTAAATAACGAAGCAACAAAACAAAAAAAAAAACACTTTATTAACTTCACATCAATTCGAAAATAAAATCGTTCGGTTAAAATTATGAACGATTTATCATCATCACTGTAACCAACGGCCATAAATCTCTGTTTATTTATTTTAACATATCACAAAATAGCTATTAAAAACCACATGTGTCAGTTTCATCAATTCTCAATCTTAATGTGTCTGTTTATGACAAAGGGCGACGCTATATTCGATCCTAATAAAATTTAAAGTCGATTACTCATCGGATTACGATAGCTCGTTTGCACGAAGACAATAACTGTAATCTCCTGTTTCGACGGATGCGTGCAATTTGTCGTACAATTGGTGCACTTAATCAGCCGGCTAACTCGGAATTATGTGTAGCATTGGTGCGAAATGCATGTTCCGAACACAACAGTGTGTAATTGGATTTAGAACGCTTTGGATTTTGAAATTGGTTGTGGCAGATGCAAGCTATGGGTGTTTGCAGATTTATAGAAAATGCGATTGGAAGATTGTTCGCGGTTATTGGGTTATTTTATTACTTTTATTAACATGTATTGGAGATTAACCTTTTGTTTTACGTTGTAAATGTAGAGTCCGTTTTTTTTCTGCACCCGGGCAGAGCCCAGAACTATTCAGTTTCAGACAGATACACATTTTAAGATATACATTGGAGGCAATGGGTTTTGAGGCGTGACAGTTTACACACGAAATAATTGACAAACAAAAGGGTTGAACTCATCCCCTCAAGAAGGTGAATAGGGGTTGGGATCTAGTTAAACATACTAAATTATCCCTCAAAGGTGTCTGGCAGAGGGTGAAAGCTTGTTTTACTATTCCAGGTACAGTAAATCGAGGGTTCTAATAAAACTGGACGGTTTTAATGAACGTTTTAATATCAGAGACTTCCATTATTTATTGTTGTCTAATTTATTCGTGACTTCCTTAATGAACGGCTTCCGATGGCGATATTTCTTTTTAATTGAATGGATATTTAAGTGATATTCATTACGGATAAATTATTATGATTACGTTTGTTTATGGGATTGCATAGTGCGTTTTTGTGATGGTTCGTTTGGATTGTGGAGTTTTTTTTATTTAATTATCATTGTTTTAAGCTGTTATTTGGATACGTTTTTGAGTGATATCAATCTCAATGTGTATACCTGTAGGCAGTCCTGTATAGTATTGACCTAGGAGGCGTCTTTGAATTAAAGAATTTGTTTATGGCTGTCGGTATGAGTTTAATTGCCATTGTTTGCATCACCGAACATTTGCTTAGGTAATAAACCATTAAAGAATTTACTATAGAACTTATATTCACTTACCAGGTACAAATCGTCCCCAGATCTTGAGAGCTGGCAGGACGGTAAAGGGCATCGCCCAGAACCAAGTGAAGGCAATCAATATTGCCGCCTGCACTTTGTTTATCCGTCCATCAAGGGGGCAGGAGATAGTCCTAGTGGAATTTAAAATAATAAATCAATTATTAAGTAAGTTATAAATATTTTGTTAGTTATTTTAGGATGAATCTATTGTATGATCGAAAAATGGATATTGAAGTCAAATATGTAGGTAGATCTTGTATCTACAGTGGAAAACTTTAATTATTGATTTAATGACCTATAAGTGGGATGATGACAGGGTATGAAAATTAAAAATATAATTAGTCCGTTAGTAAGGTAATGAAAAAATATAGGATACGTATAATTTTATTTTTTCGTATAATAAAACAATACTTAGATAAAACGAATCAAAGTTTAGGAGTGGGGGCTAAAACGTCATTTTTACATATAAAATGTTCATAGAAGTGACGTCACGCGACATTTCAAATCAATATATCGTCGAAAGTATTCGTTTCTGTAAGAAAATAAAAATACGTGTCTAATAATTTAAAATAATCTATCAGACGGACATTAAAATAAAAATTAGTCATCTTCTCTTCATGTTTGAGCTCAGTGGTGTAGTAATCGAAAGGTTACATCCAGAAGTGGACACAGGCGTAATGTTAACAAATTTTTGTATTTCTTTCGTAAAGACAATAGGAATCTATCATTGGAAATATTGTCTCTATTGTTCAAATCATAATAAAACGTCTAGACAATCTCAAAAAGTTTGATAATATATAGAAGTTCGTCTCAGTGTAGAAATCAAACCCTTTTTGCTATATTACAGCAATATTTTCTCAATAAAAGAGAAATTGTACCAATGTACATGTAATAACATCTTGTGACGAAATTACGATGGAAGCTGTATAGCTACATAGCTATACAGCAAATCTCAATATACAGCGAATCACATGATTCAATAAAATATTATTTTGATATGGAAAATTGATGTATGGTATTTTATGGAAAATAATAGATATAGGTATATAAGTAGGTATGTCACGTATATAATAATATTAATAAAAATTAGGACCGATTTTTCTAACGCCAGATAAATTTTAACTGAGGAATAACTTTGAATATTTCACAATTCTTCCATACTAAATACTGTCAAATGTCAATTTTATTATACAGTTAAGAATTAGCCGATGATTTAAAAATCGGCCCACTACAAAGATATTAAATGTTCGGTGTACAAAGAATATCTATAAATCTGACTTGTGTTATTTGTTTTTAAAAATAGATATTAACACATTTGAGTAACTGAACTTCAAGCTCGACGTAAAGCCAAAAAGAATATATTTTTGGTATTTCATTCATCCCACAAAAAATCTGATGGGTGTCAGAAGAAATTTTGTGAAAGTTAGAAGTTAAGTTACATAACTTGGAAACTGTGACATTAGTGCTTGCCTCTTTTCAAACCTCGATAATAAAATAGGTATATCAAAACCGAAAATAAAATATAAATAAAATAATAATAAAAACTTAACTTACTTGTATCTATCAAAAGCTATAACAGCATTGGTGATGGCTCCTCCGATACCCGACAAGGAACCGAGGACGGCGTAAATGTCACACCCGAGCTGGTAGCCGACCAGTCGCTGGTAGAATGAGTTCATGATGAGTAACGGCATCTCCAGCATCATCATCAAGTCAAACACTGCCAAGTTGATGACGAACATGTTGCTTGGGCTTCGTAGGGATTTTGACCTGATAGAAGAGAAGTTTTGTTTAGTGGTATAGTCAAAGAAGGGATTTTGATTAGATTTTTTGTAACTGCAATTAAACTGTTGGTTCCAATCCAAAACATATCTATATTTCTATGGGAGAAGAACCATTAAGTAGTTAACTCTCTTTTTTGCAAAAGAAAATGTCTTTTGCAAAAATAATAGTGAGAAAATACAATGTTCGTTTAAAATAATTGGTTAAAATAAGTGACAATCGTTTAACCTTTTAAAATCAAGGTGTTTTTGAACATTAAATTGATTATTTTAGACTAAGTAGAAGTTGAAAAACTTTACCATAATATTTGTAATATGTATTTCTATGTCCATCTTATACTGTTATATAAAGCGGAAGAGTTTGTATTTTTTTAGTTTAAACGCGCTAATCTCCGTAACTACAAGTCTGATTTGAATCATTCTTTTTGTGTTGGATAGCGCATTTATCGAGGATGGCTATAAGCTATAAAACATCACGCTACGACCAATAGGAGCTGAGCAGAGCGTGTGAAACCGCGCGCAAGTAGCTAGTGACGTAATAAAAATCCATCACAATACGATAACATATCAATAGCACACAATTACAAACCAATATATTCTTACCAAATTAACCAGTAACACGATACAGATTGACACATTAACGGCTATAGATTTGACCGCCATAGCCGCGACAATACGCAATCCGCACGGGCTACATAATGGCCGCCCGCTATACATATGCACAGTGAATTACATTAATTGCAACCGATTTACTGAATTGTTACCCTGATTCCGACCGTGTTCGCTTTCAATTAGTCGATTTGTATATAGCTACTCGAGGATATGTTAATAGTTTGGCACAATCTACTGTTGGACTAGGTTTTTACATGAGAGGGGTATGCGGATTATTTTATGGACTAGAAGGCAAACCGTTACACGGATTACCTGATGGTATGCGATCAGCGCCGCTCATGGACACCCGCAACACCAGCGTGGGTGTCCATGGTACGTTGCCGGCCTTTTAAAAAGGAATACACTCATTTCTTAAAGGTTTGATGGTCGTTTTGGTTCGGAAGTACAGCTATGGATCGGAGAGATGACAGCTTTAAACGTTCAGGTTTGTTAGAGAGGACTGCTGTCTGGACTTTGTCAAATATATGTAATATATGTATGTTAATTGTGTCTTATGATAACAGCGGAAAGAGCAGGGGTTTTTTTTGGGGGGGGGAGTCATCTAATGGATTGTTTCACCTTGGGTGAGGCGAGAGGGAGTGTCAGACTCTTACCGACTAAAAACCACCCCGTTTCTAGATTTACTCTTCGAGCCGGAGCCCCGGCAACTCGTCAAGTCCTCCGCGGCTCCGTATAGGTAGAGAAGAGTAGGGAAAATGTTATGTAGGTATTCTGAAGTGACCAAATGGTAAAGGTACTCAAGGAATTTGTAGCAAAATGGTTCAAGACGTTCAACAATGACGCGGATTCTTCGTCGTATGAAATGCGTTGCATAGTCTTTTCCATTTGAAGCGGTATATTTCTGTGAATAAGTCGATGGAATCTTCTTTATATTTAAACAATAAAATGTTTTCGTGTCATTGTTAGAGACGAACATTATTGTCAATAGACGAGGTGTAATATAAAGCTTTTGTGATCGGTATAATACAAGATACTAAATAACGGAAAATGAACTTAAAACCCCTTAAATTATTAAGTTCAAAATGCAGTATAGTTAAGTTTAGAATAAATAGCATTATTATCTTTAACATTTTGTTTCATCTTCCACAACAATATTTGTAACAAAATTGAAGTAACAAACGCGACCGAAGTTTTACAAATGTGTTCGTATTTCGTGAAATAAGATAACGACTAGATGTGAATTTATGCGCAGTTGTTGGGAACACAATCGCTTTTAAAATATCCTGTCAAATAAAGAGGTTTGTATGCAAGTGGAAAATACTCGTAGATTGTGTAGAGTAGTAATCTATATTCTCTATAGGTAGAATCTATAGATAGATAGGTATTTTTTTAAAAATACGTTGCCCCATATATTGATTTTCTCCTGTGTCGTGGGTGCATTTACAAACATACAAGTTCACATCCACATGACATCCAGACTCGGAACAACAATCTGTGGATCACAAAGAGTTAAATTATAATTATAAAACAAAGTCGCTATCCGCCGTCTGTCTGTCCCTATGTATGCTTAGATCATTAAAACTACGCAACGGATTTTGATGCGGTTTTTTATAAATAGATAGAGTAATTCTTAAGGAAGGTTTATATGTATAATACATGCATATTGCACCCGTGCTAAGCAGGGGCAGGTCGCTAGTAATAAATAAATCTATTGTCACATTAACTAAGAACATTGAAGTCGAAAAACTCAATGCTACTAACCTAACCGAGGGTTGCAGAGAATTCCTTTCAATATAGGTACACAACGAATAAAAGCTAAGCGAAGTGCGACAAAATAAGGGACAAAACCCATGTACGGACCGGACAAATAGTAAAAGGGTCGTAACCGGGTTGATTACACCCGTCTTAAGGATGTGACGAGTTTTGTTAATGAGTGCCGTAATGAGACAAGATAATGCATCAAGTGGAAGGTTTAGTACCTATTTTTAGGGGTCTTTTTTCTCTTGTGGAGCGGCATGTTGTCAATGTAATCGATAGATTATTGTTTTATACTTAAGGGTGTTTTATTCGTACGAGTGGCCGCAAGTGTGACTGCCGGGCAAGGGGTCTCGGGTTCGATTCCCGGGTCGGGCAAAGTATTATTGGTATTTTTCAAAAAATTCTCAGTAGTAGCACGGGGTCTGGAATTGTGCCCGGTATTTGGCAACAGGCTCACCCCCTGTTACATGGAACTCAAAACATACAATAGTGAAAAGTGGGTGTTACATTGTATAGTGGCATTAAGTGCCGTAAGGCGTGATGTTATGATGTTATGTAAGAAATAAGAAATAGATAATTGACTACTTCAATGAACAGTGTGGACTGCAAGTTGGAACTGTTAGCTCAACAAGGCGGACTCAAAGCATCCACGGCCCATAGAAATAATTTATGAGGGCAATCTACCATACTGACCTAATACGATTGGCAACTCCAATACAAAGACAAAGATCAAAACTAAGTCAAATTTATATGTTTGTGTTACACCAAATCCTGTGATTACTAAGTTATTACTTGTAGCAATCAATAAACTGGAGCTTGTTAATAAACAAACTTAAATTGGTTTGTCTTTCAACGACTTAGCGAATCTTAAACAGTTCCGACTTGCTATGGAGAATGAGTTAATTGTATATCAAAATATTGGCAGCTTCCAACATATTATCATTGACAGATAAAATAAAAAAAAAGATATTTTAAACATGGCTGACATAGAAACTCCCGCCTAAAATTCAATCTTCAAATATACTGGCCTAAAACATCTATTCTATAATTCCAATTTCAAATCAAAATACACAATAAATGTCAACAAAAGAACCAATCAAATTCTTAAGAAAAACGATTCGTCTTTCGAAGCCTTATCCGAAGTAAGTAGATCTAACGAATAAGCATTTGCAAAACATAAAAATGTATAATAAAAACATCGTAACGGCCTAAAATCTCAGCAACAGCGCCCAGTGACACAGATAGCAGTAAAACGACCAAGATAAATGTAAGATGGATTTGTAGTGGAAGCTACGCGAATCTGAAGCAGCTAGATTGGCTTAAGAAGAAAGAGAATGAATTGACTGTTATGAAATCTTGCTAGTGTCGGTAATGGAGACATTTTTTTCGGTTTTCTCAGTTGGTGTCATAATTAGTGCTCCTGGTATAGTACTATAAAGGAGATTATATTTTTCGCAGTATTTTTTATTAACAGCAAGTTCTCATGATTTATTCTGTAGGTACTAGCTCGCTCTTGATTATTTGGAGCAAATCTAACTGCACCACAAAGTGAAATATCACAAAATAACTAATTTCTTTATCTTATCGTGCAGTGGATAACAGACTTGGTGCAAAAAACGTTAGTCGGCGAACATCGGAAACGTTTTCCGAAGTGGAGAGTGGCGGGCGGTTTAGAAACTTTTGCTCCTGACACGCGGCAGATCGCACCCGCCGATGGCAAAACTCAACGGATTTTATCGTACACATTTCTCTTTAATAATCATCATTGTTTCTTCGAGACTTCGACGTCAATTGTTTCTCTGACGAGCTGTAGCTTTTGTTTTATTGTTGTTTGCTTGATAGATTGCCGATTAGAGAGTTATTTGGGTGAATATTAGAGTGGTTTCGCGAAATTATTGTAGCGGTTTTTGTCTTAGAAATAAGGGTGTGAGATTGGGTTCTGATTTATTTAGTACGAGTAAAAGTATTGCTAAGCACATAGGTATTAGTTTCTGGGCACGTGTAAATAGATTGTGTAGCTTCTATGAATGAATAAGTAATTTTTTTTCTGCTATGAATCAGCAGATTTTTATATTCGGCCCTTCTTAAACAAGCACTTAAATGGTTAAACAAGATATCATCAAGTTTGGAAACACAAGCAGTGAGAAATCGTTATGTGTTGATTAAACCAACCAATTTCCCCAAACAGTGATTAATCAATCCCCATACAATTAACGCGCGGCAAACCAAATTAACGGGTACGCGTTTATCGTGCCTTAGCATATAATTAACTTTAAACGTTTCGTTAACTTAAACTTAATTCCCCAACTTGTTTGTCACCATTTTGTTTGGGACGTTCCCGCCAACCCACCCGCCATCTTGGTGCGTTCAGAAACTTAATTAAATCGCCGAAGACGTCAGTTTCACGAACGGATCGTCAAATTGTTCCACGATATTAATTTTGGCTTCGCTTTTGCATTTTTAATCGAATAGTAAAGGGTTGTCTGTTGTGACCTTAGAGGACAGTTGAAACTTTGAAGGAGATTAGAAGAGACGGCTTTAGTACCTATAGAGTAGTTTGATAGTCTTGACCTTTACGAGTTCGCGAACTTGTCTAAAGTTTTCGCGGGAAATTGCTAAAGATTTGATCGAAACTTCATGTAGCTGGTCTATTTTTAGTAGCCACTCTAAGTTGAAATACTGTCAGAGGTCACGTATATGTTTACTTACTGTTGAAAGGTGTGGATTGTGTATTTTTAGAACAGTTTGGGTAGTTATTTTGATAAGTTAATTTAAAAATTGAAGGTTATTATTGTTAAATTTATTGCAGAGTGCAGTTAAACATAGTACATTAAGTGAAACCACAAAAGTTATCTTGATTAACCTGAGGTATGTACCTCTATATATGTAAAGTTCCAACCGAACCTAAGTAATTTGACGATGGCCGGCATAAGAATATTTTATTCTTATCGTCAAAACAGTACGAAATCAGACAAAGGTAAGTCAAGATTGTCATTTCCAGAGAGCGCTACAATCGTCTTTATGACAGCATTGATATTTTGTAACGAATTTATTTGATTTCTTTTATTTTTGTCTTGATACATAAAACAAAGAGGACGATAATAAAGTTGGTAATATGTCCTAAACATATTTTCTTTCAAGGAAATTCTGTTTGGCGAAAAAGAAATGATGACACGTCACATTGACCGTTTTTACGCCACCTTATTTAAAGTAGGAATGTTTTTCTCAGGCTTTCGGCAAGCTCGGAGCCAATTCATGGTCACGGTTGAATAATCTGGCCCTGGGCTTTTCAATGAGCCCGCGACCGTTTAGCGAAGTGGACCATGGGAAAGGGGCCACATGTTGGAAAACGCTGCTATAAAATTATGGGATGGAAAAGTTGGTTACTTGTGCTTAGGTATTCGTAAAAACATCGTGCATTGTTATAAGAACAACCCTCCTAAAATCTGTTTGTATTTTTTGAATTGTTTTTTTTTCGGTTATAATGTAGGCGGTGGTCACAAACCTATAATATTGGTTTTGGAATCAAATTGTACGTGCGTTTTGAAATTATAGAAGGGTGAATATGTGACGATTTCGCTCTTAAATAATGGTTTTGTTAAATTATTGTGAGTAGTTTGAAGCAATATTACAGTTTTTACTATTTAAATTCCTTTTGGAGGTATTACTAAAACATCTATAACATTTTGCCTGATCCAAGAATCTTGCTAGGCAGTCGCGTTTGCAACGAGGCAAAGATATTTTTGTTTTATAAATAAATATAAAAACATATTATAGTGGTCTCTACTCACGTTCCAAATATCCAGATGACAATGCCGTTCCCAAGTAATGAGGTGACCATCAGCATCGTGTAAATAAGTGCGAGGACATAATGCCAGTACTTGCTGACTGCTGGAAAGTTCCTCCAATGGTCGTGGACCAGGTCCTGGTGCTCTTCGGGGATGTTCCAGCCAAGCATATGCTCGACCACCTCCTTGGAGACCCTGGTGGAAAAAAATAATTTTAAATGTAGAAAAGTGTAAAAGAAAATGAAAAATACTGGCCATGAGCGTTAGGGTTCAATTTAACTAATTAATAAAAATGAAAATAATTAATTGTGACTAAAGAAATATATCTTCGGAATATTTTGTTCTGTGGTGAATCATTGTTTGCCTTGTTACTAACGAAAAAGTCATTAAACAGTAACAATTTCTCGGAAACATCCAAGAGAATGTAATAATATATCCAACTATAAACGTTTACCAAGAAGTATTTGACATGAAAACATTAATTAAGTACCTGAAGTCGGTATTTAATTAAAATAATTGAAAGCACTCCGATTTTACTTGAAAAAAGAGACTCTATTCCAAATAATTAATTGTTGATGAAATTGAGCAAATTAACGAAAACGATACAAACATTTTTAGAGGATAAGCCATGGGGCCAATATCGTCCGTGAAGTTCGTCGCCATCTTGTGCGCGTTTCTTTTAACAAAATGGCGGATAAAGTAATAGATTTTCTATTGTTTCATGGGTTGAAAGTAAATGAAGGATTTATTGATATATTTGAATGTTTTATGACGAAGTGAGTAGTCCGACATCCAGTCGCTTCTCACTTGTGGTTTGTGGTCGGTGCTGCACAGTTTTATATCGTTCCAAATAGTGCGTGTCAGTTAATTCCTTAATTCAATAAAATAGTAAAGCTTCTTACTATTCGGTCAAGCGTGAAACATTCTGCCATTTGTTCTCAATCTGTTTTTTGATCGTTCTGATTCTTTTTATAAAATTTGATTTTCTTTGATATATTAGGTTTTGTTTGAGATTGTATTTTAATTTCATTATAAGAAAATCATTTATCAAACGTAGATTTGTACCTCACAAATCATAGGAAGAAAAATTGTAAAGGTAAGTAAAATATTATTATTATTGATAAGTACTTTGAAACATTAAATATTACAAAAACATTCATCAAATATGTACATTTGGTAAGTTTAAAAATCATCCGGCATTATACAAACGGATCTTTTGTTTTTCTTTTTTATTGTTCGATTGACAGTACAATATCTTACGAACGGTGTTCCCGACTGAGTAGGGTCCTCAATCGATTTTCTCGAAGCATTGTATTGTTTTGGTTTAACAAACGATTTACTTGATTTTTCGGACCAAAACGAAACGGCACAGTAACTTTCTTTGGGACATTTTTGCAAAAAACCGTTGGGAAAACCAGAGTGAAAATTAGCATAGACACGGTCCGTTTAGATATAAATTTTGCTTTTAAAAGTAGAATGTAGAGTACGTTAATGTTTTTTCTTGTTTTGACATGCTTTGTAAGCCAGAAAATGGAATGCAAGGACAATTAGGTAATGCTTCAGACCGTATAGGACTTAGAAAATACCTAGATTGGAATTATTTTTCTTGACCTACATAGAATGAAAGTTTTTTTTTTGATAGTGCTTCCTTTTACAAGAACAACACAACATCACGCCTTTTATCCCCGAAGGAGTAGACAGAGGTGCACATTATAGCACTTGATGCCACTATTCACTATTTATGTTATGAGTCCCAAGTAATAGGGGGTGAGCCTATTGCCATATAACAGGCACAATTTCAGACTCCGTGCTACTACTGAGATTTTTTTTAAAACCCCAGTAATACTTGGCTCGACCCGGGACCCTTTACCCACTCGGCAGTCGCATTTTAAATGGCTAAATTAATAATACTTAGTCAATGTTAATTCAAAATTCATAAACCAATTCATGGTTCCACAACTAATATTAGAAATAGTTAAGTCTGGATTACTTGAATTATTAAATTCACTCGTTAGTTGAATATATCAAGCGATCCTATTTACTATTAACATAAGTACTTTGGGCATGTATGTCCATTATTCCAGAATCTATTCCTATTGTTTTTTTAATTTTGTAATGGAGGTGCCTAAATGTATATACCTAATGCGCAAAACCCTTCTAAGAAGCTCGAGGCCTTTTAGGGAATAGCATTTGCGAGAATAAGAGAGTCTAGTTTAAATTACATAATATTTCAGACAATAAATAGGCTTATCATATATGTAACTAGCTTTTGCCCGCGACTTCGTACGCGTAATCCCATTTTTACCCGTCCCGGTCCGTAATTTTCGGTAAAAAGTAAAAAAAAAATTTGGTCAAAAAGTATCCTATGTCGGTCTCCTGGCTCTAAGCTACCTCCCTACCAATTTTCAGCCAAATCTATTCTGCCGTTCTTGAGTTATAGGTAAGTGGTGTAACTAACACGACTTTCTTTTATATATATAGAATAGATAATGCCTAGCTGGCTAAGCCAAAGCGCGCTACATACTTAATTTGAATTCAGAAACATCGTGCGGTACATAACTAAAATGAGCATTTTTTTTTTAAAAAACAGCGATATAAAACCTTAGCACTCCACTTAATGACTGTTCAAAAGCCACAAAGGACAGCAACAAAGTTCAGTAGGTAGTATATTCCCATTACTGGAATAAGGCAACGTTTTTTATTCAAACGTTTCAAAATGGCGGCTGGGATTACGCGAAGACTCGTTGGCTAGGAATCCTCGCGTCATCGAAGGACAACGTGTACGGAATTCAAGCCATTATGAGTAACCCGTTGTTAATCGTGTGAGAGGGAGTATGTGAGGAATTGAGATGCAAATTGGAGGCGTGTTTCCTTTTTTAAATGAAATTTATTTGTTTATTGAACTGGCCGATTGTGTTTTGTTTGTAACTGAATACGGTATTTTACAACTAATCAAATTCAATACTTTTGTCGAAACGTCAAAAACGATACTGTTCTATGAATTTTGTACCAAAAACTAACTTATGACGTCATCATATTTTCGAGTCAAATAGCGCACTTGTTTCTGAAAAAATTGCTAGAATAAAACGAAAATTAAGTATATTTTTGAATATTTAATTGGATTGAAAAATCAAACTAATTTATTTTTGACCCAGGAAAATATCCATTTGTGTCTTGTGGTTGGTTAACTATTCTTTTTTTTTAGCCATTATCGTCCCACTACAGGGCACTCATCTCTTCTTGTAGGTTTCTGTGACAAATCTTTTTTTTTGTGATTGATTGAACATTCTTAAACTTTTACAACTGGTATGGAGTAAGCAAGAAGAATTGTGCTGATGACAGACCAGAATACATTTGATACTCTTCCTAGGGATGTCGTAAGGACCAATTAACACGTTAAATGCCATGAGAGTCACCGGTGACCGACGTTAGTGGAGGATTTACCTTCACCAGTTTTCTATTGGCAGTCAAAGCCTTAAGGAACTATAGGCAACAGCAGTACTCTCTTGTAAACCTTTGTTTTACGTTTAAAGTAATCGAAATGAGAGCTCTGATTGGTTTGTTCATAGAAATTGGCCAATCAGTGCGCCGAGCGCGTCGGCAAACAAAATAGTACTAAACCCCTTGAATCTCTCAAAATGCAATCTTCAACGAGCCTGTATGCCGTAAATATTACCAAAACCGTGGAGATGTAAGTAGATTAGGTACTTGTATGGGGTTTTTGTGAAAAATAGATCGTAATCCACATATTTTGAATTAAAATAGTTTTTATAATAACTATCGTGGCACATATTAAAATATCTACGTGAACATACTGAGAAAAGCTCTACTAATTTCGAACCACAGAGGGGTTCTTCCTTATGGGCTGCGTGCGCGGTCGCGGCGATGTCAGTAGGCGCGACATCGTTAATATAAATTGAGGCGTAATATAAATTTGTTTATTCATTTAAGCCATATAAGGCATAAAGTTCATAATACAATATTTATTGACAACTTCTTTAACATATTCTTTTTAAAAAGGGAAATTGGGGTACCTCCGCCTCTAATGAGGTCAGTCGTTATAGGTTGAGACAGATATTTTTCTTTTTTCCGCCACCGACTGTTTATAAGATAATTAAGGGTGAGAAATAAAGGCCAATTAGTGGGAGAAAGAATGTTATTTGCATAGAAAGATTTCGGTTGAGAGTTACGGAGAAATGAGGTCGGATATTTACTTAGGAATTTTCATTGGGAAATTCTTTGGTACGTATTTTATGGGTTGGTTGATTGGGGGTGATACAGAGTAGGTATTATAATAAAAACGTTTTTACGTCTGAAATTATAATGCAATTGCAATGTTTACCCCTATGTTCTACGTGGGTACTATAGGAATATAGTGAAAAGTAGATGTTTCAACATTTAATTGTGCTTTTTTTAAGGGCGAAATATCATCGAATGATTTCTCTCGCCTGAGTGAGGCGGAAGGGAGTGTCAGACTCTTACTGACTAAAAACCACCCTGTTCCTACACCTGCACTTCAAGCTGGAGCCGGAACTTTAATTGTGCTGTAGTTCCTATCTCTTTGGGGTTTATTAGGTAATAAGGCGTAACTTTGCTCCCATAAACTACGCCGTTTAATTCCTAAATTAATGTTATTTTGTTTTCACCTATGAGTACAGATTGCAATTGTCTTTCTAGGTAATTATTCTTGAGAATAAGTACCTATAAACTCTGCTAAACATATCATATTCTACGTAGCTATTGTTCCATTACTTAGAAAACATTTCTTTTGTCTTTCATACTAAGATCTCTTTTTTAATACTATAACAGTGCGCTTGAGCAGTTCCAGGAATTAGTCACCCCATTTGGTAGCTAATGGTAGCGACTTAGTCTGAATTTTGTGTCGACTATCTTAGACAGACTTTTCTCAATGGCTGACGAAGACCATATCTTTATACTTGGTTTATTTTTTAAAGATTACTTTTTACTTAATACATTTTTTTATTCCAAATTTAAAATAAGTATTTTTTATTTTTAAATAATAAAACTCAATCGTGCATGTCGAGATTTGAAAATAATTTTAAAGAACCAGTTACCAGTTAAAGACATCTGAACTTACCTTTTTCAAGAAGTAATTTTAAGAAATTCATTGATATTATTGTTAGTTACTGAATATTGGTCTTCCCCCATGGCTTACAGTCCGGTTGGCTGGAGCTTATCTGCAGGAGTCAGATATTTGAAATTGATATAAGAAGTAGCTTAAATTACATCCTAAAAAGTAAGCTGTCCAACAGTGAAAGAATTTTACAAATATCTTCATTAGTTTCGGAGCCAATTCAATGCAAACAAATCAATTATTATTTATTATGATAATTATTTCTTCTTCACCAAACATAAAAGTGAATGGCGGACTTTAATGCCTTAAAGTATTCTCTGACAGTCAACTATAGAGAAGTGCAGAGAAATGAAGTAATTGATGCGAAACCAGAACACAATTCAAAAAATTTGTTAAGTAATATGTATACTACACACTTGTCGCGGAGAACCTAACGGGTAAACGAGGCTCCGACTCGACGTGCAGGAGAAGGAACGGGGTGGTTTTTAGTCAGTAAGAGTCTGACACTCCCTCCCGCCTCACCTACGCGGGAGAAGCATTCAATGATTTTCCCCCTTAAAAAAAATAC